GATCGATTTTCTTGTCTTCGATAATTTAATAATACGATATATAATGTATCTCTTTCATAAAATTGAATTTTTTAATAGATCTTTAAATTATTTTTCTCTTAACTGTAATATTTATCAAATTTTTATTAATATTATTTTTGCTTCTCTCTCTTTCTTTATTATATTAATTATTTTATATTATATTAATGTAAATGATGTAGATATATTTAAGAGCGTAGATATTCTTCTAAATAAAAAAATTACTCTTTAACAGTCTGATCTTATCAATTATATATCGTATTGATTATTCAAGCAAATAATCAATACTTGTAAATGAAAGAGAGAGAGAGAAATAATACAGAAATAATAAAATAAGAGCGAGAAATGAAATGAAATAAAATTAAAACTTATTAAATTATTGCCTCGAAAGCAATTATCCGAGATTGACATTTAGCTTATTAAATTTCTATTAAAGCGGAATTATTAGCAACGACATGCAATATCCAAATTGATCTAACATATTCCCAAGATCGAATTAAGCGATTGAATCCGGATAAGATGTAAATACGTTTGCCTAAATTACATGGTAATCTGTTCATCACGGATCTGGGTCAAACATGGATAACTATGTGCGAGTTAAATCTAAATTCGAACGATTTACAACGCCATGAAGAAAACGTATCATCGTATCATTAAATCTTCAGACATAAATGAATCGAAATATTAGAAAGATACAAGATTATAAGCAAAATAAATAATTAAAAGTAAATATAACAATTATTAACGATAAATTATTGCACAATTATTGCAATTATTTCCCATATCTTTCTTTAAATAAAAAGAATTCGATTTAAGAACCTGACATATCTACACAAGTCCACTTAATCCGGAAATGCGTTTCCGGAAATAAAAAAATCTCAGTGAGACTGATCGCGATCTAAAACGAATGTCTTTGTGTCGCGAAATGTGGGTGTAGGAAAAAGAGAACGCAACAGGACGAATATAACGACGAAAGATTAATTCCGCTTGAGAAGGAGGCCGTGAAGGAGGGAAGAAAACGACAATGCCTCCTTTTTCGTGTTCGCCCAATTATGGAAGCGCTCGAGCGAGGTTGTAAGGATCTCAGGCGCCACCGGGGATAAAGGATGTTTCTTTGCCAAGACTTGCGAAGGATCCGCGAAGGAAACGACGATCCTACATAAGGACGGACACTCACTCGTCTTCGTCACTCAAGACAAACAGATCGCGCGTAGAGGATTTTAGGAGGAATTCCCTCCCTCGAGCAATTCAGTCAAATAGCGCGATGCTCGAGAGTAATTTGCGTTTACTATTTCAACGAGTCACTTGAGAAAAGAGATAATGCTTCAAAAGTTGTACTATTCTAGAAAGAATCAAAGAAATCTCGGATGGCACATACAATTATATAAATTAATAAAATTATTCGAAATCTTATTAGTGTTTTTTTCTCATATTAATAAGTAAAATAGAGACTTTTCTACTCTGTCTATATTTACGTAAATAAATAAGGAACACATAATAACACATAATAAAAAAAAATTTGATTTTAAAATAAAGTTCTTCTCAAATAGTTTCATTAAAGTCCCGAGAGAGAGATGATTTGACTAGAATTGAAATTTCGTCGGAATTCTGCTCAGCTGACTTCAATGTCAGATTTATGCAAAAACTTCAACATTCTTATTCCCGCGCATAATTCAACAACCGTCGTCGACAAAAGTCGCGACAAATAGTAAAATATTCCTCGCTCGAGAAAAGATCGCTGACATTAAGGGAGAAATTCGCCAATAACGAGAGCATTATCTCTTTTCTTTTTCATCCGACCACGAGATCCTCCGTGTTCGAGAAATTCTTGTTCTATTCATTACAATTTACATGATTTACAGGGAAAAATAACAAGATCCCTTGTAGATTCAACAGAGAGATTACCAGGTCTGTGTCAGGTTCGTCTCGCTAATCCCTTTTACTTTGGCCTCTCCCCCGCCTCTCGTCTCACAACAGAATTCCCATGCTAATCCGGAACTGAGGTAGGGGAGCGGGTACAGGGGGTATAACGCGACTTTTGTCGAACTGCTCTCCCGATAGAGACCAGAAAAAAAAGGAGGAGAGAGAGAGAGAGACTACCCGTCGGTCGGGACGGAATAAGTTAAACGTTCTCGTGTATATATACGGCGCGCGGGGCGCCGCGGGATGAATAATAATGAGGGACATTCACGGGGATGCGGGGGAACACCTCGTCGGGCGCCTTTTCGTAAAAAGGCCGTTAAGGTGCTACCTTAACGATCCCCGGGGCCCCCACGGCCGCCGCGGTGAAAAAGGGAGATCGAGGGCCTGCACGTGGAATGCAGACACGTAATGCTCGCAGAATGCGCCCGGGCCGCCGACCGCCGGGAATGATTAGTGCGAGCGAGAGAGAAGGAGAGAGGACCCTCTGAATGCAGCGGGTCGAACAGGTCTATACGTGCGGTATCGGGTGTAGGTAGAAACACACAGGCATGCACACGTACACGTACGCACTCATACACACGTGGGTACCAACAGGTACGAACGGGGGACCTGCCGCCGGTCTCTCACGGGGCCCCGCCACTCTCGCTCCCCCTCCCCCTCTGGTCCTATATCGGTTCGTAAAGGTAGACCTTTGTTCGCGATTCGACGAGTCCGAAATCGATGCGCGATAAGACTCTCGCGATTAGAGGAGAATATAATCGAATATATCCTCCTGAGAGTCGCACGATTGGCTACGTCAAGTTAAAACAAGGTGTATTGTATCATCGACATTCCTCGAGATTATTTATCTTTATATAAATTTGCAAGTAAACATTCTTAAATCTCTCGGGTTAAAAGCTAGATTAAACGTATCGCAGCGATTTCTACAAAAATACGAAGGATGACAGAAATCAGCTGTTTAGTAAGTTTCGGATTAAAATCCAAGTTAAATGTTTCGGAGCGCTTCCTACAAAAATGAACCTACGAAAAATGACAGAAATCAGCTGTTTGGTAAGTCTTGGATTAAAATCTAAGTTAAATATTTCGGAGCGCTCCCCTTTGATTCTACTTCGGTTCGTAAAGGTAGACCTTTGTTCGCGAGTCCGAAATCGATGCGCGATAAGACTCTCGCGATTAGAGACGAATATAATCAAATATCTTCTGTCCTGAGAGTCGCACGATTGGCTACGTCAAGTTAAAACAAGGTATATTGTATCATCGACATTCTTCGAAATTATTTATCTTTATATAAATTTGCAAGTAAACATTCTTAAATCTCTCGGGTTAAAATATAGATTAAATGTATCGCAGCGATTTCTACAAAAATACGAAGGATGACAGAAATCAGCTGTTTAGTACGTCTTAGATTAAAATCCAAATTAAATGTTTAGGAGCGCTTCCTACAAAAATGAACCTACGAAAAATGACAGAAATCAGCTGTTTGGTAAGTCTTGAATTAAAATCCGAGTTAAATATTTCGGAGCGCTTCCTACAAAAATGAATCTACGGAGAATGACAGAAATCAGCTGTTCGAAGAAATTGATGGGTTGGATCATCGATCGTATTTTTTTCTTGAGAGAATCTAAATTAAGTACAAAAACATAAACGCGTTTCATATCTAAGGCAGAGTTGCAAGAATCGCGAAGTTAGTCGAGGCGAAATGGGGCGACCGAGGACAATTGGCAACCGCGAATCGATTTCGGTGGGAACGGGAAGGAAGAACCGCAGAGAAGAGACGACAAGCGGGAATCTGGCTTCTAAGCGAAGGATCGATTCTGTCGTCGCGGCGAGGCACGGCGTGACCGCCCGTGTGAGAAACTTTTAATTGCGTTCCGTGCGCGCGCGCGCGAGCGGAGCGGCCCATTTCGTCGGGACTTGGGGTCGAGAACCGGAACGAAGGGACGAGAAATCGTGGTGTAGGTAGGTAGGTGGAGGAGATGAGGAGGAAGGAGAGAGGAGAATGACGCGGAGGGCGAGGGAGGGCAACGAGGGGAACGATGGCGCGAGGGCATAACTTATGCGTGTTCACCGAACGAAGAATTGTCTCGAGGATGATAATATGGGGAATAAGGTGGCGCGTTGTATGGAAGACGAATGGAAGTCGGGGAAAAGAGGAGCGAGCGGTGAAACGGTATAATAGCTCGTGGAGTGCACCCGATATTGTAAGAGAAAATTCCTATGTTTTTATCTCACATAAATTGTTTTTATCTCTCAATTATAATTTATTAAGCTTTTATTCGTGTTATTTTTGCTTCTCTCTTCTTTTCTTTATTATTTAATTCTATTTTATATTATATTAGCGATTACGATGTGTGCGATATATGTAAATATTTAATATATTAAAATCATGGTATTTGTCTTCTTAATAAAAAAATTACTCTTTAGATATCCGAATTAATTATATTGTATTGATATTGATTCAAGCAAACTGTGTCATATCGATATTATCGATACGATTGTAAAAATATATGAAGATATAGAGGTAACAGAATAAAATGAAATTTAAAATTAAACTATTAAATTATTGTTTCAAAAGTAGTTACTTCGAGATATTTAGCCTATTATCGGATTATCGATATATCACACGTCTATTATTATTCGCTGAAAAACAATGTAAAATGTTCGCGTAAAAATTTTGTTGAAATATTTTAAACATTCCAGAATGTATTATGTATGCTTCTAAGAATTCTTACTTTCCGAAACATTGTGAATATACTAGGGTAGAAAAATTAAAGTTCTCAGTTTTATTACTCAGTTTTTAATTTTTATCGAGAGGGAATCTTCAAAAATTCGTACCAAGGTGAGACAAGTGCATCAGTCTTTTCGAAGACTATATTGAAAAGTAGTCATTATCTTCACAAACATCAATAAGTCCAATTTGCGCACAAGTTATAAATATAAAAATTGAAATAAAACAGAGAACCTTAGTTTTGCACCTGTCATCAAAATTCCCAGACGCCAACGGCCGAGCGGATCGAGCTAGCCTGTTGAATATGAATACGAAATACTCTCGCACTTACCTTCTCCTCGAGCGACGGGCCTCTCTCCATCGCGTACATAATGGCCCCCGAAATGCGGGTGTCCAAATCTCTGACGGCATTCTTGATGTTCAGTTCCAGAGGATTGTTATCGTTGTCCACCACTGCGACGAGCCTCCCGACCGTTTCCACGTAACCGGACCATGCGAGATCCAACTCGTACGCTGGCTGTGTCAGGCAGCCTCTGCAACATTTACATATTTTTTTCTATTATTTTATGCTATTATCATATGATAATCATGCGTGATTATTTCACAAATCTATCAGAAATCGCTTTTTCTCTTTCTCTCTTTATATAGTAATTATGACAATTTCTCTATAACAAATAATTATCAAATAATCTCAATTGGAAAAATATTGTATATAACTTCTCGATCCGCGAGATATTAATTATTATAACATAATTATATAATAATTATCACAATTCAAATAATTATAATAATTATCAATTCAACAATTCAATAGGAAAATTAATTATAAGAGGAGAAAGGTACAAAAGCGTTATTCGATTGATTTACCGCGTTCTCCATTGTAGAGACAAGGATTTGTCACACCCACTTCGATATCCATGAAAAAAAGGGATATTCGGAAATGTTTGAAACTTTTCTCATAAATCAACCATGACTCACCTTATTACATTCATGCAGAAACCGTTGCAGGACCGCACATCCTTTCCGATTCCTTTGCATTTTGGACAATAGGTCATCCTGAGCAGGGCGTTATAACAGGCCTCTTGTTGAGGATTGTTGCTACTGTCGGCGGGGAATAATACGCTGTCGGTCTTGTCAAGAAAAGTCTTGCCGAGACTTAGAGCCTGCATCAGCACTCTGGTAGCTTCTAGGCTCTTGCTGATCTTCTTATAAGTATCTTGCGGCAAGTCGCCAAATGGCTGTATGTCGTCCATCGTGTTGTACAGGCAGGTCTTGAACGCTTTGGTGAAATCCTGGCGATCCTGCTGACTGAGGATGATACGATAGGCGATGGGGAAGAGACTCTTGAAGAAGTCGCGGAAATGTTCCTGCAACGTCTCCCGCGTCAACGGTTGCTGGAGATCGTCCGGGGTGTTGGAGGGCGACACGTAGTCCACCAGCGTCTGATAGAGCGACAGGATCAAGGGCCTGCTCACCATCGTCAGCGAGCTGTACACCTTGTTGAACGTGCTCAGCGTCTGGTTCTCCGACTTTCGTAGCAGGACAATCACCGTGTCTGTAAAGACACGCTCTCTTTAATAATTGATGCGACTCTCGAGAAGAGATCTGCATTCTCTATTTCGATGTCGCGCGATCCGTGTAACCTGGAGAAGACTTTTACAACGTTTCCCAGAATCGACTTGTTCCGTAATAACGTGTATATTCAAGAGAGATAAAAGGAATTTTTTCTAAATATACGTCTAATTCTTCGTAAAGGGAGAGTAAAAATGTATCTTTCACGAGTTCAAAATAGTAAAATGATATTTATTTGAGGGGTTGATCACTAGTGGTTATAGTGTACAAAAATTACCCTTGATACGGATTACCTTTACCTCAGATTATTTAAGATTACCTAATATTAGATTATCTAAAATTTCCTTTGGATTACCGCTGAATTACCTAGCCCTTGTACAGAAATTCAGTGACCAATCCCTCGTATTTATTGTTGTGATACATTTTTTACGGTATGATAATTTTATTTTCGAGCGACTAAACATGTTATCAAAGAAAATTGCTAAAATTCTTTTCGAATAGATATTATTTTGTTAATAAATAAATAATAAATATTAGAAAATATTATTTCTTGACAAAATAAAATAAATCAACAAATATTTTCTTTGATAAATATATATAAAGATTTGCCTTTGTTGAAAAATAAGTCTTATATTTGTTTTTAAAAATATTATAGAGAAATTTCCACACAAATATTATACTAAAAATATGAAAAAATTAAAATATTAAAAAAATACTCAGTGACTTGAAAGAAATTGAATAGAGATTGAGTTATCCGGAGACTCTCCATTCAACTTTGTACGTAATTCATCAGCGGTTTATTTTTGCGTTTTCTCTTTTTTTTATACCAATTTCTTTTCCTAATCTAACTCGATCAAATGATTCCTCATGCAAATGCGTGCACTTGAGATTTCGTGAGTGTAACAAAAAGAGCGTGCTCAAGAGAACGAGAGCGGTTGCACTTAATCGCGAAAGCATAAAACGAAGAAAACAGATTAGAAAAAGTGCTTCTCGATTCTCGCTTCAATTTCAAGTGGCTCAGGCAAGAATCTATGCACACTTCTCCGTCTTCTAAAAGAGTGTGCACCCTACGGTCCTAATGATCCTATTAAGGGAAGTGACGAAGAGTCAATAGCAAGGGCAAAAGGTATTAATATTAATGATGTTGACTTATATATTGGAAGTATAAAAATTATAAATGGTTTAAAAGCTCTGACAATTTAACGCAAATATTCAAGTACATAAAAAAACGATATTGTAATATATAATGCAGTGTATATATTATATATCTGATTATATTTAATAAATCAAAATTAAAGAAATGTATATATAATTAAAAAAATTAAAGAAAAAAATATATACATATAAATGATATTATTAACAATAATTATATTATATTATTATTATTATTATTATTATTATAATTGTAATAGAATATAATTAAATAAAATAATAATATAATTATTAATTATAACATAATTACATCATAAATAATTAATTATATTATAAAAGATATACATAATTATATATAATATTATATAAAAATATAATTATAATTAAATATGTTATAATTAAATTAATATATACACAATTATATATTTTAGATATATTAAAATATGGTATAAAAAAGATTTCGAAACTCCATGTGCAAAAATATTCGATACAACCAGTTTCGGAATCATTCGGAATGTTTCTGTCGAAATATCGGTTTTTTCTTCGCAAAAAGACATCGTGTACGATACTAAAATTGGACCTGCCGTAAATATACCGGTTTCGATATCTGATTTGCGACATTGCGCCTCGGAATTATATCTCGCGAACGAAAGTCGCGTCATCGCAATGGAGCAAAGCGATTTAATTTATTTTTCGCAGGATATGTGTCTCCGTTAATTAAAATTAATGGCCATATAAAAATACGCATCGCGATATCTCGCAGCCGTCATCGCAGCCGTCTCTCTCTTTCTCTCGATACGAGAACCTTTATATTTTTCCTTGTGTGAAACGTCATTTGTCGAGGCGGATTACGTCGGCGTTAATTGAGACTTCAAAAGCGGTATCACAAGCGTAACTATTCGGATTTGTTTTCCTTCAATTACCGTTGAAGATTCCAACGCCGAGTACACGAAAATAAATCCGACAATGATCGTAGATACGTATCTGCTTTTCGTTTCTATTACATCGATTTTAACCAGTATGTATAAAACGAGACATTTTATCTATATTAATCTCTTCAGATTCGGAGTCTCCATTATCGAACAATTTTATTAAGATTTTTATCGAACAATTTTATTACGATTTTTTTTCTCGATATATCTATATGAATGACATTATATAACACGACATTTTTAAAGTGTATAAGAAGATAATTGAGAAACTTGAGAAATTTAATATTAAAAATTTCGAGATAGAAATTAATAAAATAATTAAAAAGAAAATTCATGAAATTCTTTTAAAATATCTCTGATCAATATCTCATCGAATATCTTATAATTTGAATTTTAAACATGTACAAAAAAACATTTTTTAATAATTTCTTTGACTAATAGTAGAGATTTTTAAAGTAATCTATTAAATTAAATTGTCATGAGATATCGTCAATTACAAAAGGCAAAAAATTCAATATTTATCAATAAATTAGTCCATAAATCACACAATTATAATCGCGTATATATTAATCGAACAGTTTTTTATTTTATCTCGTGTGAAAATTTTTCTCCAAAATAGAGCCAATAAACACGCACGGGTTGAATCGAATTTGAAGATTCCGAGATTCGACGAGAGCTCAGTTAGGGTGAAAGACTGGGAAAAAATGCCGGCGCCATACGCGATGCGTTGGTTCCCGCAAAGATGCAAATACTTTGCGACGCAAGGAGGAAGAGAGCGAGAGAGGAAGTAGGTTTTTCGCGGCATCGAAAATAGCAGAGAACCGGAGTCTGTGCTTGAATTCTAGACGCCGTGTTACCGAGGCAACGACACGCACTTTGCGAACGCACCTCGCGTTTTGCCGCTATCTTCCTCTATCTCGTTTTCCGTTTCTGTCATGCGTGCATGTGTGTGTGTGCGCGATGCGTATCGGTTAAACGTGCACACCGGTATAAATACCGGACTGACCACGTAATCGAAGTGAGCTACAGCCGTGTGAATCGATATTGAAAATTGGCCCAAGGAATATTTTCGGAAAATTATAAAAGAAGAGAAAGGATTTTTTTTTAATCTTGAGCGATTAAAATAATATAAAAAAGATCATATGTTTTGCATTATTTTGATAGAAACAATGTGGACCAATTTGCGATAATTTGCGATAGCAACGAAGTGTAATATGCAAAGCAAAGATGTGAGTCACGCGAGTCGGCATCGCGGTGTTAATTTCTCGTATGCGAGAATATCCATCTCGCGCGCTGTCGAAAGATAAGCGCTCGAAATAAGGAGTGACATGTTTGCGGCATCTGAACGCGAGGCCGATGCCCAGGAGTTAAAGAGATGAATCGAGAGAGCGAAAGAGAATAGGGGCAGGGGAGAAGAAAGGAAGAGGATGAGGGTCGGAGAGGAGGGATGGCGGATTCGCGCTCTCTTGTCCCCGTATAAGGCACGCCAAGAGCGGCTTCGATCCCTCGTGGACAAAAGGCAAACACGAGGGAGCCCTGCGAAGACTCCCCTGGAAAATTGTCGTCTCGCGATAATTTTCGATCATCTTTCTCGAGATGTGCGAGTTAAACTGTCCGATAAATCGAAAAAACGCGATGGCGATTTGGCTCTTTCTTTTCTTTTTTTTTTTTAAGAGAGGAAAGCAAGCCTCCTTCTACGCCTTTTGTCGAATAACGACCGATGGAAATTCTATAAATCAAAGGACGAATAAAAGCTCTTTAGAAATTCTAATGGTCAAATTGGCCGGAAACGAAGAATAAACCGCAGATCATTTTACTGATTGCTCTTTCCGTTACCTGAGATACAAAGTTTCATATATCCCAGAGAGATATACTTCGCAAGTATTATAATGGTGAGTCTCTTAAGTCGAGTATCGGCGAACATCAAAAGTGAATCATCATCGAAAGTGAACATCAGTGAAAAAATGTCATTTAAATAATTTTGTATGTACGTCTTATAAAAAATATAAGGAAAATTAATAATTAAATGCTTCCTCACGTCTTGTTCACACTTCGACATTTTTTTTTATTCATATTCGTCTGCTCGTTCGCTCCAGATTCTTTATAGTTTTACAACTTTTCTTTCCTTTTAAAAATAATTTAATATTGACACACATTTCTCTCTTAAATAATTTAAATTTCCCGTAACTTTGTTCGTTATATATAGAATTCAAAAATATATTTATTTCCTCAAAAATTAAAAGCGAGGTCTACTAACACGCTTGCATCATCGATTAAAATTATTTTATATCAATAACGCAATATTAAATTTTATATCAATGAGCAAGTGTCACTTGATAAAAGTGACTTCAATACTCTGTGTAATAAATAACACGCATTGAAATACAACGGTTAAAAACCGATTTCACCGATTTGTCAATACTAGTCGGTTCCAATTAAATAAATAATTTATAAAATATTGTATTATTGCAGAGCTAACGGTGTACTCGAAGGAAAGTAGAATCGATTGCACACACGAGTAAGTTAGCTATCGAGCGATCGCTTAATTATTCGAACTTCTCAATAATACAGATTAATCGACGATGATTACTAATCGACCGTTGCATTCTATTACAAATTTACACGTACACGTTCATTCTGCTTTCCTTACGAAAGCACTTTGCTCGGCCACGCGAACGTGCTAGAAGGCAAAGAGATAAAGTGCCTTACCTCTGAGTGCGTCGGCGGTGGTGACGAGGAGACCCTGCAAACTTCTGCTGTGATGATGAATCAGATTGTGGAAGTCTAGCCGGGCTTGTCGCTTCAAACGCTCCTCCATCTCCTTGCTGCAGCACTTGCCGTAGCACGTCGCTGGAAAAAAAAAGGGAAAAGATACTTCGCATTATTATTGCGCAACGTTACCCACATTAAAACGCCTCCCCTTCGACTGAAGCTAAATCAAATTGGAGCACGGAGCACGAAGGGGGGGACTTGAGTTGAACGTCAACCCGCATAAACCCGACCGCGGCGTAAAAGCTCCATAATCCGACCTATTTGTGAGATCGTTCGAAAAAGACTAATGTAATCGAAATGCGATCGTGTAATCTCTGTAACTCGATCAAACGGAAATTTTATTATATCAAATATTGTTTTATCACACAAGCGGAATTTCGTTTCGTCGAATTAATCGAATTTCCACGCGTGATTTTATGCTTTATGTTTTGTTGTACATTTCGTGTCGCCAGAATTTTCGCTGCATCGGGCAAAACCCGATGCATAATCCACGATTTTCCATTTTCCATTTGCCGAAGAGAACATCGAGGCGTGAGTGACATTTTTGTAAATTTGAGATCCGAAGATGATTGACAAGTTCCGGCTGTATAAATTCTTTTTAAAAATGTACACATTTTTTATATTTCTGAGCTCTGGCAATTAAATGTAAAGACTAAAAATGTCAGCGTCAGCGTTTTCATTATACGAAAAATTGTCTTTTTATTCCAATATCGCTACAAATAGATCGAGTCATAATACTTTCCGATAAAATTTTCTCTCTCTCTCTCTCTCTCTTTCTCAAGCACGCGTTACCAAAATTCCTTAGAAAATGGCAGATTCCCAAGAAAAATATTTAAGCACAGAGGAAATTGAGAAAATTCAAATCCGATTCTAATTTATTGCACTCTAATCTTGCATATTAAATGCGAAAATAATAAAAGTCATCGTTCGAATACACGTGCATTTAGTGTTAAATTAATAGCAATGTTCGGAAACGGTAATAATAATGTTTCTGCGCGATAATTTTAACCGAGATCAGAAAATATTCCGCGTCGCAATCGATCGAAATCTCGCGGTGACGTGCATTCCTCTTCGCCTCTGGGGGAACCGGTTTAGCGAACGAAGCTACATCGAATTTAAAGAGCGAGCTATATATATATATATATATATATATATATATATATATATATATATATAGTACGAATAAAAATATGGACATAGATTTAAATATAAAAATAAAATGTAAAAAAAAAAAGAATTACTATGTAAACAAATAAATATAGAAAAATAAATATTAATAAATGAACATGTGTTTGTATGGTTGAAGTATATTGTGAATATTAAAAGAAAAATATCAAATTTTTGGAATATTAGAATATCAAACTTTGAGAGAGAAATAAAAAATTGAAAAATAAAGCTAACAATATTCAGACAAAAATAGGATAAATACGGATCAAATGTCAAATAAAATAATATAAAAAAAATAAAGGTATGTAGCTATCTATGTGTCGATCATTTATATAAATGTGTGATACTCGCGTGAAATGTCAATATTTTTTTTCTAAAAAAAATAAAAGAACGTTAGCCTCACTTATCGAGAACTAGATTTATGATGTCTTTTTTTATTTTTGAATCGGTAAAAATAAGTTTCACACGTTGTTTCATAAACAAATAACTTGTAAGATTGATGGAAAAAACGTGGACACACGTGTTATGCAATGTGTATCATATTAGAATCATATATTATTATAGCCAATAGAATTATTAGTTTCAAAGTTTTAAAAAATATCATAAATCTCTCAAAATCAACATGGAAGAAAAAAACTTGAGTGAATAAAGAGAACGAAAGAAAATCGGTAAAAAACAGTCATGTTGCGATAAGCAATAATTATACAAATGACTGATTCTTTGACGTTGGAGAATCGATAGACATTAAATTCCTCCTTTGTTGAATCTCCTTTTCGGAGAAAGAGAGAGAGAGAGAGAGAGAGAGAGAGAGAGAGAGAGAGAGAGAGAAAGACAGAAAGTGAGTCAATTGTGTGAAATAAATATACGCGATGTTGAAAAAATTTTTACCCAAAATTTCAAAGTGTTTGAATGTAATTATATCAAGACTTATAATTCATTTTCGAGAAGAAAAATTTCCAGAAACACTCTAGCGCTTAAAAAAATCATAACATTTAATATGAAATTGCCCACTGAATGACATCAATATCAATATTGATGACATTGGATATCAAATATTAATTATGATATTAGCAATTTTAATAATCATTTGAAATTGCATGGTATATTATTAATAAATTTAATAAGTGTGTCAATATCGAAAGAATTATTAATATATCAGCATAATAAGAATAACATAATAATGATAATAATAATAATAAATCAATATAATAATAATAATAGAGAGATATATAATGAAGTGTAATTATTATTATTGAGCTAATAAAAATTTTATTACATCATATTTGACTATCACGAGTAATTGTAAATATTCGAAAACTGGGTAACACATTCATTATTGATTTACAATAAAATGATTTTAAAGAAAATTCAAACACGCGCGACAAATTATTAAAATAAACTTTATATGTTAAATTTTACAAAAAAAAAAAAAAAAAAACTATTTTGCGAACGAAACGTGTAGCCTCGTTTCACAGCGAATATCAAAAGTTTATCGACATTTACGGCTAAACGCGATTGCGCTAATAATCTGAATTATTAAATCAATAAAGTTTTTATCAATTACGTATCTCACTTAATCAAATTTAGTTATATCTATTGGACTTTTTGTCATCGCTTTTATATTTATTCCTCTTGTTTTTTCGGTTTCTCTCTCTCTTTTTCTCTTAAAGTATATCCACGTGAGAGAAATGTCAGTTTCACCTGACTTTGATGTCACTTTCCAACGGTAGTCCCCGGAGGGACGTAAATAAATTTCTCGCGCGGACAATGTGGCAGAATACAAAGTTAATACAATAACACAGATACGGAGAGTGACTGGACCGGAGCGGTATATAAATTCGAGTCGTGCGAAAAAAAAATAAATAAAAATATTGACTTACTGTTCGAAAAATCCTCAGCGGCTGGCACGAGCGTGATGTTCTTGGTATCGAAGAACGGTCTGATCAGGTCGCAGTTGGCGACGATCTCGGTGCCGTTGTCGACGGTGGACGTCTTCAGGTGGTGCAGCGACTTCGCGTGCACCACCGAGCACGCACAGTGGCACCACACGAGGAGGACCCACGCGAACAGAGTCGAGGGCGCGGGGAACGCGACGGCTCGCGCTATTATTTTCATTTCGGCAAAATGGCTCCGGATGTAGGCGACGAACGAGAGAGATATATACGTATCTATATCTCTATACAAAGAGAGCGAAGAAACCGCGAGGGAGATTCGCGCACGATCGGAGAATATTTCGCGAGGCGCTCTTGAATCTCGTTCCTGTCGCGCGCGCGATAAGCGCCAACTTCACTCCCTTCCTCTCGCGCTTCTCCTCCTCCTCCTCTTCTTCTCTTCTTCTTCTTCTTCCTTTACGGATTCGTTCCCGGCGGAGTCATCCACCGTATCGGAACGCGATGATTGTTTGCCGAACGGCGGACGCGCCGTCAGACGGCACGACGACGGCGACGAAAACGAGCGGCGGCAGTGCTGCGTGCACTCGGGGCATGCGGCGCGAACATTTGGTGCGCTCGCGAAACGGGGGAGGCGAGGGGGGAGGAGGAGGAAAAAGAATAAGAGAGAGATAGGGAGGAGAGGTCAGAGACGGCCGATCACGTATATCCAGCGGTGCTCCCGACACACGCACGCTCGACCACTTTGCTGCTGTCGCACTGTGTAACGCACATATGTGCTCCTACGGACGTGTGTGCGCGTGTCGTGTATATGTATAGATACGCACACGCGCGCGACGCACACTCGTGCACGTTTGATCGCACCGCGAACGCGCCGCGAGAGCGAAATGGAGCGGGATGGACGCGCGTCGACACACCTCCCCCGAGCGACTCGATGCGACTGAAGCGCCGGCCCCGAGTCGCTGGAATATAATTCGACCGTACGCGCGCGAACGTGGCGCCCCTGGCGGCGACTCTACGTACCTCCATCGTTCTTCGAAGTATCCTTTGCGATGATTACATCTTTATCGATTATCGATATATATACCTAAAAAAGATTTAGAATATATGTATTTTTTTAATACATATGTATTATATCAAAATATTTTTATTATGCATATAATTAATACAATTATACGATTAATATAATTGTAATATGAGTATGAATATAAAAAATACACGCGTATATTAATCATTTATTGTCGGGATATCTTTCAGGATACATGTAATTTTAATATAAGTATGTAGGAATTCTCTTAAACAAATAAATATTAGTTATTTATTGTCGAAATACCTTTCAGGATATAGGAAAAAGAGGTACATCAGATTCTGCGAAGGATATTGTGTCTTTAAGCACAAAGTTATATAAAAGTGATCAATCTTCTGGTCTGATTGACCTGCCACACGTTCAATGCCTCGTACTCTTCGATGCATTTGTACACGGGATCGGGTTTAAATCCCTTGCTCGTACATCGCTCTAAAATGTCCGATACTTTGACTGTCTTCTTATCGCCGGCAAGTTCTCGTATCAAATGGAAAATTCTATTGATCGGGTTCTGTTGCGTGTTATTTGTGCGTTGTTCGGAATAGTTGATTGAATGCTTGGACATCTCTACCAATCTGTTCGCTTCTGCAATATCGTCCTTGTCGACCACGTTCGATAATCGCAATCGTGCTAATGCCGTCGACAATCGAAGGATAGCTAACAGATTACGAGCGGAAGTAAACGTTTTGTCGTGGCTGTTACGCGCTTCCTTTCGCATTTCCACATAAGAATCTGCAACAGTAAGATTTTTAATAATTATATACTTGTTGAATAAATTTGTGATTTAATGTAAAATATAAAAAATAACATTAATTACATTTTATATGTATAGTAATTTATGAAAAATTAGAAAGTAAGATAATAACAATTCATACACATACGCACCTACAATATATTCCGTTAATTCTTCTGATATAACAGGTTCTTTTGTCTTACACAAATTTATGTATTTTCTTATTAATTTCATATCTATAGCTTCCGTTTCAGTCGGAGGTTGCGAGCAATGTTGATGCACATATGTGATGTGTTGTGCTAATCTATGAAGGATTATTTAAATTTATTAGCATAATATACAAATATTAAAATAAAATATAAAATACAAAATTAGAAATAATTAAGTTAAATGTGATTGAAAGAAATAGTATCAATTTATAAAAATAATACGTGAATATACTTACTTAAGATCGTTACCTCGGTCTGCGCGATCCTGAATAAGCCACAATAAATCAAATCGCGATAATAACGCGGCAGGCAATTGGATATTTTGTTCCACTGATCTCTGTGGATTGTATCTGCCGTACGCCGGATTGGCAGCAGCCAATATGGATACTCTAGCGTTCAAACGAGCCATTATGCCGGCTTTGGCAATAGATATAGTCTGTTGCTCCATCACCTCATGAATCGCCGTTCTATCTGCGTCTGCCATCTTATCAAATTCGTCGATGCAACAAACCCCTTGATCCGCCAATACCAAAGCTCCGCCCTCCAATACCATTTGACCGGTTAAAGGATCCTTCATGATTGCAGCGGTCAAACCTACACCGGACGAGCCTCGTCCTGTAGTATACTGTGATCTTGGAGCCAATCGCGTGATGTAGGATAATAATTGCGATTTTGCTACACCGGGATCTCCCATCAAACAGATATTGATATTACCTAAAAATAAGAGAATAAGATTATTCCGTTACATTGTATCTAAAATATTTCAGGCACTAAAACAAAAGTGAATATATTAATGTTAATATTAATATATTAATGTTAATATTTTTATATCAAATGTAATATACATATATAAAATTTCATTGAATCAATTATATATACCTCGAATTTTAATGTCGCCTTTCTTCTTGTCCGTTCCACCAACGAGAAGTAAAAGTAATGCCTTTTTCACATCTTCGAGCCCGTAAATTTCCGGAGCTAAGGAACAAGCCAATTTGTTGTAAAAATCATCTTGCATCAGCAAACTTAATTCCTGATCAGTCAATTCGGCATTACTATCATCTACCGTATCTACGTTATTCAGACATACTATTTTCTGAAATCAAACAAAAGATTAATTTAATCAATCAAATAAAATTTCATATAATTGTAAAATTGAGATGTCTATCCTTACATGGGCGTCTAAATAAGTCTCACTAGAAAGTGCAGGTCCTGATCTAGCATTGAAACCTGTTTTCAAAAATGGCAGAAACACACCAGTAACGATAATATGATCACCAGGCAAGCAATTTCTCGTCGTTTCGCCTCGGCAGAAGATAGTTAAAGATCGTGGTATATGGCCAACTGGAACTTGTTCGCTCTATAAAAAAAAATCAATAGTATCTCAAGAAATATATAATGTTTAAATAAACTCAAAATATTGAAATAAACTTACATGTTCCTGCAATTTTAACTCTTGAAATTTAATAAACTTCGAACCTTTTGTCTGCAAGTATAATCTGCCACCAGATTTGTTCACGCGACATCCCTCACTCGGACATGTCCGTAATGGCATGAAGCTTAAGGAATGTACCTAACAAAAATTAATTTTATGTATAACTCTTGAAATTTTAATATATTATATATGAAAAATACAAATTCTAAGATTATATAATAATTACTGCATATAAGAATAATCAAAATGAATAATTCATAAAATATAAAATATAATTTTTTTACCGGTTGGCTCACTTCCGAACCACATTCATCACATGTATATGTTGCTACAACAATCATTGGCTTAACTTCAGTAGTTTTAGTAACAATGCCTCTAACTGTCACCAATTTCCCAATTTTGTCTGCCTTAATATCTCTTACTGAATATGCCTTTGAATCGGAGAAATCTTTAAAATACACTTCACTGGAAAAATATTTGTCTTCATCAGTCTTGATTATTTTTAATTTTAATAAATGTCTGAATATAAAGTTTCCTTACAAACGACGCATTAATTCAGGAGCATATTTAGTTCTGGCATCTTGAGCTTCACCCGGTTGCCTAGTGCGAGCTTGTATTAATAATCGATGCTCCAGATAAATATCCAATGAATCTTTAGGTAAGACAACTCTTTCTTTGAAATCAGGTAACATTTCTTGAACCAACTAAAAAATAAGAAACAAAATTTTGTATTACTTTTTACAAATAATATGTAAACTCATATATATATTTTATACTATATTATTTGCAATAATATAATTTATGTAGTTTTATATCCATATATCAAATAAATTCTCATGTAGCAAATATGAATAGTTCTGAATATAATATTTATGCAAGTAATACATACGTCCAAAACTAAATTAGTATATCTTCGTGTATTATTAGCAACAGATGTGGCTAGTTCTTCATCAAACGATTGTACATCATCCAAATCGATCTCAAAGCTAATTTGTTCTCTGTGAGCTATCTTGGTAAGCTGCTGTCTATATTTGAAGGTCTTAATATCTGTCTTATCATCTATTGCCACAAATTCCAAGAAGAAAGTCTTGAATTGTTCTGAAAAAGTTATTGTATGAATATATGACTTTGTATCGAATTTATTATTTAACGTCGATTAAAATGATTAATAACAAGTACACGGTTTTTTTCATAAAATGAAGAAATTCTAAAAATGTAAAACTCACCTCTATCTTTAGTGTAATCTCTCGCTACTTTATTTGCCATATTTCACGAATTTTAATATACAATTTTAACTGAAATCAGTGGATATTCTTGTTTTCAACAAATATTACGGTTAAATAAGACTTCTCTGGCTTGCCTCCCTTTCCCGCGCAAATTAAAACCATAACTTATAAAATATATTGACGAGAATGTCTATAGAAATAATTCGTGCGATATGCATGAAATTTTCAAAGATTGCTATTGGTCCGAATTGTTTTCGACAAGCACATCATACAACGTCGTACGATTGGCTATTTTTAGGGACTTCGAAAATTCTCTATTTGAGCCAATTGCGTGACACTATGCCTTTGATGAAAAATCGCCTTTATTAAGGTTGTTTATAGCCATCTATTTTTATTACACATGCCTATCTATTCATGCATCATATTCAACATATAAACACGTGTTTTCCGAAGACAGGTACCAAAACTGGCTCCTACTCTTTTAAAAAGAAAGTTCCTTCCCTAATAACGTGCTAAAATAAAAAAAAATGGGCAAAGCTAAGAAAATCAAAGTTTCTAAAGGAACCAAAGAGTCGAAAATAAGTTTGACGGAGCAAATAGAAATTGATAAAGCTGTGAAGCCTACAGTCAGGCAAAAGATTAGGCATCGGGCGAATGATGAAGAAGAAGTTAGTTTCCACATTTATCTCTTTCGTATCATCTCATTTTCCTGAAAATTAAAGATAATTAAATCTGTTAAAAAGTACATTTTTTTGTTTTGCCTCGATTACAATTAATATAATTATTATTTCTTTCTAGTATGTAGCTCCTACTCTAACGAGAAGGATCTTATCGCAAGCTAGACAACAGCAGCTAGAGATTGAAGAGGAGATTGGTCTCAGTAAACCTAAAAGCGAAAAGCTGACTGTCAAACTCAGCACTGAGTTGAACGATGTTGAAGATCGATCCAGTGATGACGAAGAACCGGTGGATAATGTACACTATTATGAGGACATTCAAATCAACGAAGATGATGAACGCGCCTTACAGATGTTCATGTCCAAAGACCCAGTACCTACAAGAACATTGGCCGATATAATAATGGAGAAATTGACAGAGAAAAAGACTGAAATCGAAACGCAATTTTCTGACGCTGGGACTATTCAATTGCAAGACTTGGATCCGCGGGTAAAAGCGATGTACGAGGGTGTCAGAGATGTTTTGGTGAAATATCGTAGTGGCAAACTACCAAAAGCTTTTAAAATCGTGCCTAGTTTAAAGAATTGGGAACAGATATTGTATATCACAGATCCACCAAAATGGTCTGCTGCTGCGATGTATCAAGCAACAAGGATATTTGCTTCAAATTTGAAGGATAAGATGGCCCAAAGATTCTACAACCTCGTTCTGTTACCACGCATTAGGGACGATTTGGCAGAATACAAAAGACTAAATTTCCATTTATATCAGGCGTTAAGGAAAGCATTATTTAAGCCGGCTGGTTTTATGAAGGGAATCTTGTTGCCACTCTTAGAATCCGGCACATGTACGCTCAGAGAAAGTGTCATCATTGGATCTGTAATCGCGAAGAATTCAATACCAATCTTGCACTCCTCGGCAGCTATACTGAAAATCGCGGAAATGGACTACACAGGTGCAAATAGCATTTTCCTCAGAATATTCTTGGATAAGAAATACGCGCTTCCATACAGAGTAGTAGATGGAGTGGTATTTCATTTTGTTAGGTAAGATAACAATGAATCTTTTATAAGCAGCTGTATTATTAGAAATGATGTTTATATTAAATATAATCTGTCAAGGTTTGAAAGAGACACCAGAGAATTACCAGTATTATGGCATCAAGCTCTCTTAACTTTTGTGCAACGATATAAGAGCGACATCAGTTCTGAGCAAAAGGAAGCTATACTAAGACTACTGAGAAAACAATCACATCATTCAATCACTCCCGAAATCAGGAGAGAATTGCAACACGCGAAATGCAGAGATGTAGAAATGACAGAACCTAAACCAGAACCAATAGATATCACAAATACTTAAAAATACAGGATATGTATATATGCAAATATCTAAATACTATTGTATTTCTTTTATAAAAAGAGAATTTATATTAAAATTTAGGAATATATATATTATCTTGGAAAAATTGGATAATATATAATATAATAAAACGATATTCGAAACAATATAAATTCCAGTGTAAAAATACATTTTTATTTAATCTTATCTATATATTAATTATTAATAAACTAATATTTGTATCATTTTTTTACATTTTTTAAATTTTAGAGAAGATTATGATCAAAGATAGCATATTTAACAGTCGTTTTAAACATCACATTCAAGCACAGCATGAATCATTACTATAAATATTTCTTATTCTTAATATACACGCACACATACATATATGAAGCAAAAATAGGAATTTTTAGCAAGATTTATCAACTTAATAACAATTTAATATTTTATATGACATAAAATAAATCACAAATAAAAAAAAAGAAACAAACTATCTGCGATTTATAAATAAATGTTTTATCTAATATTATGCTATAAAAAAAGCTATAAGAAAAAATTGAAATATTCATTGGAATGAAAAATTTAATTATAAAATTAAGTTGCGCTTACTGCTTAGTTTTTATTAGCTTATCTTTCTATTTAATCTTTTTATATTTAATATATTAGAGCCTTTTCATTTTGTAATATTATGCTGTGTGAATTCTATTATTTTTAAATATCACTGGTTTTATTATTTTTATATTTCTTATTATATTTTTTATTATTTTTATATTTCTATATTACTCTTAGGATTCAAAGCTTTCAAATCTCTTTGTTTCATATTTATATACTCCACATTAAGAGCATCATGTGGAGCGTTCATAGAAATTGTCTTTGTTATTCCCTGTTCGGATAAATAAATGTTCGTTTTAATTAGAGGCACTTCAGTTGTGCTCGATTTAGTTATTCTCTTATCAAATTTTTTATCTTCATAACTCTTGGAATTCTCCTGTAATTTTGAGCAAGTTCCGCGATCGACGTTATTGATATCTTTAATAAAAGATTCGGATTTTTCAGATAAACGATTACTGAAGTTTGTATCGTTTACATTTACTTCTTTATCTACGTCTCTCTTTTCACGTTCATTATTCTCCAAAATATCTCTATGTACAATGGGAACAACTTCTGGTTCGCTTTTGTTTGATGATGAAACAATCGTCTTGTCTATTTTTGACTGATTCATCATTTTTAATGCTACAGGTACAGAATATTTGTCATCGTATTTTCCTTGCAGTTCCTCTGACATGTTCATAACTCCATTTCTAACAGCCTCTCTCTTCTCTTCTTTCATTTGACGATTATCGTTCTCTTTAACAAGTACTTCTTCTGCAATAGATCTCTGTATAGCTCCTTTTGATAAGATATTCAAGATGGAACCCTTCATATTTTTTAAATCGTTAAATTCTATTCTCTCAATTTTCGTATCATCTTGTTTTTCTTTGTGTAACAATCTCTCGGATATTTCATGATCAATGGCCACTTCTTTGATAAAAGATTTATCTGGTATATTTCCTGATATTTTTTGTAATGCTTCTATATCTTCGTTGGGAGAAATTTCCTGAAAGGAATCCAATTTTTTCTTGCTTTCAGCTGCTATATTGTTATTCTCATCTTGAGATTGCTGTTTTTCATTGATCTTTATTTTATTCGCAACATTCCATTGCTTCTCCTCCAAAACTACTTTATTATTTTTTTCTTCTATACTCACTATCTCCTTGTTTTCGACAATTTTTCTATCGTTTTCTTTCAAGTTTGTCTTGCTCTTTGGCAATAAATCCTCGTTATCAATCTGTATGTTCTTTTCATTTTTCTTAAGTAACTCATCTTTTGCCATTCTTTGTTTTTCTCTCTCAAACTCTTGCTTCTGTTCCTTGATATCTTTTAGAATTTTCTTCTGTTCTTGCATCATTTCACGTTGCTCCAATTTATGCTTTTCTAATGTTTTTCTAAGTTGCTCGTGCCGTTCTGCAGCTCTAGCATTAGCAACATCTCCATCAGCCGCCAATTCTGATTCCTCCTTCTTTATTGCATCTAAATTAATAAGATTATCGTTCTTCTGCAAATCCACAGATCGTTCCTTCTCTTCAATTATTTTTATCTTCTCCTCTGCTTTCAATGTAACAGATTCATCAATTTTAGCGATATCGGTATTCACAGCAACCTGCAATTGCACGTTTAAATTTTCATTTAAAGGTTTAACTGTTTCATCTTCTATTTCTTTTATTTCTGGCACAAGAGTGTCTACTGCTGCTTTATCAGGTTTTTCAATATTCTGTTTTTCGGTCACAATTACACGTTCAACTGGTATGGGCGGTTCTTGTCGAACGTCTTTTACTTTCAAATCCAATGTTTTATCGAGAACACTAATCTCAGACAGCTTATTAATTTTATCTATAATAGAATGTGAAATAAAAGAGTAAGATCACAATGAAAATAAAAGATTAATTCGTACAATATTACCTTTTGCTCTAGGAATGATTTCCAAACTATTAGGAACATCAGGAATATGTAAACTGTCTTTAATGTTCAATGGTAAATTGATTTGACCGAGTGGTTTACTCGTTATCGTTAATTTTGCATTTGTAGATTCTTCCATTGCATATAAATTAGCGTATGTACCGAGCACCATAATCCAAACGCCGATAATTAAAATACCCTATAGATAATGATATATGTGTAACATAGAAAAAAATTACAAAAAAAGTTACTGGTAAAACTTTACCTGTGCTACTAATCTTTCATTAGTATTTTTGCTGTTTATAGACACAAAGAATACTGTCGGGAATATCAAACAGATCATTACTCCGATCGTTGATCCCACGATACCAAGAACAAATTCTATATTTGGCACTAGAATACCGATTATCAGGGAAATGCTGACTATTGCGATAGTAAGACATCGAAATCTGGATTCTGACAAATAATTGATAGACGGTTCGTGGGTATGTACCTGATACACAACGATAAAAAATAAATTAAAAATTGGAGTAATAATATGCTTGGGCTTTTAAATTTTTCTTTTTTGAAAAACATACATACCCGGCGAAATAAAAGAGAATTCAAGCTCGCACGACATGGAAAAATGACTAGAGGGAAACTGAATGCAACCGAAAATACGAATCCCAGTTTAATCAGTTCGGATGTTATGCTAGGTTCGAAACTCAGTAAAATGTTCCCTGCAATATATAAAAATAGTAAGAGCAACTGCACAAGTTGAAAACAAATAAATAATAAATGATATGACAAAGATAATGTAATAATCATCTTTTATTGTAAGATACATGCGTAGCAGTTCTGTTAAATTACCTGTGAATGATTGAGTACAGAAAGCAATGTAACCAAACAAGCCAACACACATATATACAAGAGTACAAATATTTAACGCTCCTCTTACAACATCATTCATTTTCTCTAAGGATGCATTTGGAATGGTTTCGTATATTTCAAATAGTTGAGTTTGACAGAAGAGAGCCATGGAGAATATGGGGAGGCACTGGAGAATACCAGCTGGTCTCCAATAATTAACATTATCAAACCAATCTTCCGCAAAGATATGTAGAGTAGATTCATTCATTATCTGTTGATTAAAAGAAAGTATATAATTATAGCATGTATATAATTCTCTCTAGCACTTATATATTTTAGATTCAATATTTTTAAGGACACTGCAACATTACTGTTATATTATACCTTTAATATGAGACAGAGATAGAAAACAATAGTAGCAGTACAAATGCTAGATAGACTATCGATATTTCGAAGCAGCCCGAGAGGTAAAACTATGAAGACTCCAGTAATGATTAACAAACTGGTGCGTATTTCCCCTGATGTCCTGTCTATCATCTTGCTGATTATCTGTGGTCCCAGATCACCGATGACGACGAAGTAGGCAATGCATGTGCCCAACATAAAACCTATGATTAAGAGCTCTGCAAGAAACTTTCCCATGTGACCAAATGCATGAAAAGCAAGTAGCTCAAAGTTGCGTCTCCTCGATATTACAGCTGATTTGATAAGGAAGTGGCATGCTAGTCGTGATAAGGTGCTACACAAAAGTAACAGCAAAATGGCCAGTACGATGCCACATTGTTTGAAGCAGAAGGGCATTGCCAGGACGCTCACTCCTATAATGCTGTTAGCAAGGGTCATCACATGGGACATTTGGGAAATCATTCTCCAAATCTCTGATTGAAATCTGACTAAGTTGTAAAGTCTTTCTTGTATTTGCAGTATAAAATTCCTTCGAGTTTCACATCCCTCTGCAAAAGAGTACAATCAGTTTCAGTATCTCTATTACTCGTTTCAGTTATCAAGTCATTCAGAAAAGTCATCTCATGTGATACATTAATTTTCTTGAAAAAAATGTTTGGATTAACGTAAGAATAATCGTAGATCGATCGTAATCTTGTATAAAAATTGTTTACATACGATTAATCGTAGCATAAATTGGAGAAATGTTATCGTAAATAATAAGGTTGGAATGATAAGTCGCTGACGAAGGGATGTTATGCGCTTTGCGCTAAAATCTTTGTTATCCTCAATCAATTACATTTTGTACGCATTTTACACGCTTTTGCGATAACATTTGTGGACGTTACATTGAAGCTGAGGAATCGTCGAGGCGCCTGCCGGCTGCCGGCCCCTCAAAACTATTCATCTTGGATTTCGACATTGAAGTGCGTAGTACGTAATGCAGGATGCAAGGTTGTTCCTTATGGCTGAACTTCTTGCACTTTTCTATTTTCGTCTCTTTCTTTTTGACCTCCTAAATATATTTCTATCACGTTTTTAGCGTAGGAAGTTTATGTATGTACAGAGAACAAATCTACAGTTATTTTTTATGTATATAAATTTGATTAAAATATTCATATGACAATCAAAAAGATGTTTTATTAATGATAATGAAAAGATGATTTATTAATAATCCGTAAAAAATTTTTTTAATGCTTTGTTTTCTTTTGCTCATTTTACAATGCTATATAGATTCTATTTTTTTTACATAAATATATATTAATTAATAACATACATATTAACTTACCTAAGAAATTTGTTTAATGTATTTGTCTGCCAAACTCGAAAATTTTTTGTTTTCGCTTCTTCCCCAGAGAAATAAAAATAAACAAGATTCTATTGTATATAATCTTTACATAAATTAAATTTTGAAGTAATTTTTTTTACTTCATATAATTTTTTCTTCCTGAAAAGCAATTTACGCTTAGACATTTTCAAATCTCAGATTCACAATCTTTCTGGATTTGTAGAAGAAAGTAGATTTCAGAAAACTACATATATATAGATATTTTTTATTATAAATATTTAAAAACGCCCATTCATATGTGTACTTTTTATGTGTGAACATAAATATATATACACATATATTATTTGATCTATATCTCAAATAGACTTATACAAGACATGTACTGCATCATGTACATTTTGAATTTATTTCTGTGTGCGTGATAAGTGTATAATTGATCAATTATTATGAATTGTTATGGATATGTAAAATCAATGATGGTATGATCTAATCAAATATGTGAAAGAATAATCGCAATAAAAGATTAAATTTTATATACATAAAATTGTTAAAATGCACAATTTTTTTCTCTGCACAAAAAGAGTGAAATTCATTGTGGGAATGTATAGTCTGAGGAAAGAGTTTGTGACAAAATATTTCTTATTGCATAAAGATCGTGAATGTAGGTTCGACTTTTGCGACATGGCGGTATCTAGTTTTTGTTGCAAAAGTCGATCCAAACGCCATAAATAATTTTTATATTTCTTAAATTATAATATCTTGCTCAATATATATTTAAAATTCTACAGCTATGCTCGAAATAGATATATATATGTATATATACATACATATATATATATTTCCTCAACTGTTTATTACTCATTACTTTCCATCAGATTGTTTTTCACTCTCATGCAATTACTCAAAAATATCAACGGAATATTTTTTTTTCTTTTTTTTAGATACCCCTCTAGTTTATTCAACGGTTTGAGAATTGACATTTATATATGATAGTATAAAAAATTGAAACTTATAATAGTTATGAAATTATACAAATCCAATGCAATGAAAGCAGATGTAAATATCTAATTCTGTAAAATTGCAAATGTTTCTTATTCTTTAGTTTTCTAAAGTATATGTTACAAGAGTTAAAGATATTCACTGCAACCCATCAAATAAACCAGAAGAGTGACCAAAATAATATAGATATTCACATCTCTTGAGTAATGTAAGATATAATACATTTTACATTTTCAAACAGAATATTATTATCATTCCAGTATTATTGCATGTAAGGGATATTTGCCTTAAGATTAATTTCTGTATGTTATGTACACAGGAATAGGAAGCAAACAAATTCATTTGATCTATTTCAAAAGAGCAATCTGTGTTTAGATTTAGTCTAATTGTCCTTCTATAATGCATAAATTGCACATTGGTCTTCATCAAACAGATCAATTAATTGCAAGCAATGAGTAAAAAAACGTACAATTTATATCGAGCGCGTGAAGAGTGTATCTTACGCGATCGTATGTGTACATATATATATATATAATTTAATTGCAGCTTTTAGACGATAAAATCTTGGTATAACTTAATGTTTTGTATCGATCGTCAATATCTCATGATCTGATTTTAAAAAAATCTGTGAAATTAATGTGTTTATAAAAATAAAATAAACATCTATGAGTGATCTACAAAGAATCTTTTATATGAAAATTAACTGATTTAATGACACTATACTTCCACTATACTAAGTGATATGCTGTAAATAAATATGTATAAAAAGAATTATAGTCAAATTATAAAATCCTGACGACTCGATCGAAACCATTCCGTGCGAGCGTGGATATTTTTAATTATTTTTGTGCGGTACTTTCCATCTCTTTTCATTGAAGAATGTTCAAAAATATGTTTCAAAATTTTAGTTTATGTTCTCGTTCTAAACGCTACACGCTCATACGTGTTCAATGAAATTGCCACGAATAGGGTAAAAGATAGTATCTGATATCTCTAAAAGTCTCTAAACATTTTCGAGAGTTTGAATAGTAGAAACAAGAATTTTGAATTATATAGAACGAGGTAAAAGTAGCTATGACATCATGTGCTGCCATCATTTAAGTTACTTAAACTTATATATACTTAATTTAAATAAAAATTTTTCCATCTTTTTAGATGCTCCGGGGCAATCATCTATCAGGGATTCGCCCCACCATCCTTCTTCGCTTCTTCATTTGTAGAATTCGTTTTTTCATCTTTTTCATTTTCTAAATAAAGAATTTTAATAATTATTAATTTCTTTCTCTAACATTAATTTATAAACATAGAAAACAGTAATGTTCAAGTATCACTACCTTTTGGCTCCGATTTTATATCTTCTTCCTTCTTTATATCAGTGTCAATGGCTTCCTGACCTTTTTCCAAACGCGGTCGTTTTCTATCTCTAGATCCCTTTAAAAAAAGAAAGAAAAAAAAGAAATATAAAAATATTTATATATCGCTTTTCTATAATTGCAACTTTCTTCCTAACTGCATATAATAGATATTACATTGTATAATGAAACTCATACCTTATAAGATCTATTATCTCTTCGTGCACCTTCACCTTCATCTTCACTGTCACTGTATTCATTTTCATGTTGCATTCTTTTGTCCAAGTCGCGTTGAGGTAATCTGTCATCCGGATTTACTTTTTCTTCAGCTTCTGAATCCTCAATGACAGCACCATCCTCAGGAATTGCTTGAACTTGGACACCAGGTGCATGAGGTAGCATTCTTAAATTCTCAAACAGCCTTGTTCTATAATAATTAGACACAGTTATGGAATTAATTTGCTTACACAATATAAAAGCCAGAATAGAAAAACTATTATAGAATTGCAAGATTGTTTACTTTATTTTTTCGAGATATTCAGGAGTGTTTTGATTGGCCATATTTGAAGGACTTATATGCAGCTTAAAGTCAGGACCAAAATATTCAAAGTAATCATTATATGGAAGTTCATTCGCAATTTCAGATCCTAGAGCTACAGATGTCTCATATGTCCAACATCTAGACACATTCCTAATTGTATATCCACCACCTCCCACCATTAAGAATGGCAAATTATATTTTTTTACAAATTCCACGCATTTACCATGCCCTCTTACAGTCAAATTAAAACATCCCAGTCGATCACCTGTATAAAATTAATATCAATTAATATTTATATTATATAAAAAATATATATTAAATTTTTATTATAATTTTTTTAAATGTTACCCGTCAATGAGTCGGCACCACATTGTAAAACAACAGCAGAAGGTTGAAAAGTTTCCATTACTTTTGAAATAATGGGGACAAATATAGACTCATAGCTCTCATCATCCATACCATCTCTCAAGGGTATATTAACTGCATAATACTTTCCCTGTTGATAAAAAGAGAAAATCATATATGACAATTAATTATTACACATAAATAGAATTATAAGGAAACAGACATTATGTTCTGATAAGTTTACCTTCCCTGCTCCTATATCGCGAAGATCTCCAGTTCCAGGGAAGTATTCACCATATTTATGAAATGAGACTGTCATAACTCTATCCGTTGTATAAAAAGCTTCTTCAACACCATCACCATGATGAACATCAATGTCAATGTACAAAACTCTTTGATGATATTTTAGTAGTTCCAAGATTCCGAGTACAATGTCATTCACGTAGCAGAAACCTGATGCTTCGCTCTTTTTTGCATGATGCAAGCCACCACCCCAATTGATGCAAATTTCTGAGGCTTGTTTGTTGAGTTTGACAGCGGCAGCTACAGATCCACCAGCTGATAATTGGCAAAACTCATACAAACCATCAAAAACAGGGCAATCTTCCCCTACATTAACTGTTGTAAAAAGCAAAATAATATTAATAAATGTTCTTATTAATTTTAATAATATAATTTACCAAATGATAATGTCTTACATCGTTGCATTTGTTTGTTATATTCAGACATATTATCTGGTCGTATGGATCTCAGAAATCTAATGTACTCGTCACTATGGAATTTTGTCATTTCATCTGCTGTAGCTTTGTGAGGCCGCTAGATAATGAAGTATAATATTATATTTTTTTATATGATCGATAATATGATAAAATACAATTATATATAATATATAAAATATAATTGATTGAGCTTATAATGAAGGCTGTTTCTTATATAAATAAAATATGATGAAAAAATTCTTACATATATTTCCATCTTTCTATAAAGACCATAATTCAAAAGTAGATTGTGTGTCATCCTTATACGATGTGGCTTCATAGGATGCCCTTGGCCATAATAATAATTTCCGATATCACCTATTTGAAAAAAAATAACATAAATGAACCAATACGCTTCAAAAAGTATGAAAAAATGTAAAAATATAACTATCACTGAACGGGGTGCACAATTGACCAACTACGGTGCGCTGGAGTATATCTGAGAATCTGTCGCAGTTACTCTACAAAAACTGTATTAACATTCACAACTTTTGTCGAAATGCGGATTTTCGCGAAAAATATTTTCAGTGAGTGTAAATTATGTTCGGGAAGTAACTTTTTGAACTTCACATTAGTCAATAATCTCATAAAAATCCCACAACATTCTTAATAACTTAACCTATGGCCATCTCAATTTCGGGCTTTTTTTCGTTTCTATTGACAAAAACATTGTTTTATAACAAAGAGAAATTGCAGTATTAAATATAATGTACGTAATTATCGCCACTTTATGAATATATATACTTGAAAATCCACGATTCGTCAAATGTCAAAGTGACATGCTACAGAATTCAGTTAACATACAAGGTCTATCGCTACAAAATGGTGCAATAATCAATTACAATTTTGTAGAAACAAAAATAGATGATAAATTATTAACTCTATTAAGTAACGTTGATTCGATAAAAAGCAGATTCTCGAGTACACGGATTTATAGTGGCTACGCATATATATAGCCATGGCCGACGCTTTTTGCTTCGCTTGGCTACGGTCGCGCGAAAAAACGGCTGCGAATCTCTCGTCTTAACGTCACGAAAATCGTATTATCTCGTAGGAAAAGCACACGAATTTCGATGTATCGCCTGTCAATAGACGTGCTTTGATGTTTTTAATCAACGACGTAAAACAGGTAGACCGATGAGCGATCGGATGCCGAGCTAGATCGCTCGAAATAAACGCGGTAAGCGCGAATGGTGCAAACACATTTTGACAAGCTTCTCGTGTGTGTGTGATGTTTCCGTGGATATTTTTCTGTGATAACTTACTGTCATAATAATAGCAGACGCGTTTCCTACTGTGCGGCTGCATGGACATTTTTACGGGATCCATTTGGAATAAATCGACAAAACACTATGAACGGAATTAAACCAGGACCGCGGAGTGATCGCCGCTCTCACCAACGGGACACAGCGTCATTAACCAACCGCATGCGCATGCGCCTTGCACTCGCATGCGAGTTGCAAGCTTGTCGCGAAGGTAGCGCTGTAAAACGATGCTATTTCGGCCACAGATGTTAGGTCTGTTCGCGTTGCTCACACCTTGCGCACCCATCTTTCTCCTCTCTCTCTCTCGTTCTCTCTTTACGCTTAATATATATTTATCTCGTTTTAAATGCAGAAATTTTTAGAGAATGCAAGCAACGCGAGCAAATCTATTTTTTTTTGAGAATGGAAATCTGGCGCTCGAATATATAAAAAAATAATAAAAATATAAAAAAATATAAAAATAATAAAAATATAAAAAATATAAATAAAAATATAAAAAATAGCTACCTACATTATATTGATGTATCAATTAATTTGTCTTGATTAATGTATAGTAATTAATTTATGTATCAATTAATTAATTATCATTAAAGCGTGATTGGTTATCATTTGTATGCTATTATGAATGCTTTTCATTTAGCGACACAAGTTGACATGAAAACATTGAAAATAATATCAATAAATGTACGTAATTAAATAATACAAACGTTCCGTTTGACGCTGCACAAGTTATCTTAAGATACAAATTCATGGGACGATCGACCCTCATTTTCATTCTCAAAAAACATCACGTGACTAAAAAATGACGAATTGATAGCTTTGTTTTAGTCACGTGACATCTCTTAACGTTGAAAATAACATCAAACGTTACATGTAAAGGCGCCTTTAAATCATCTGTGTAGCAGACTACAAAAATGTCACCTGAAATGTTTTGGCGGCTGTAAGCGTAGCCAAAGTTCTTGCATTTGTATGATTAAATGACACAAATTCGCAGGATGTCTCTGTTAATTCGAAGATGTAGGTTGGATAATTACTGGCGATGTATGAAACTTAGAAATCTCGCAAAAATTCGCGAATTACATGTCTCGTCATTGATTAACCTAGGACCTGTGAGAAACTTTTGCAATTCGCACGCGAGTCCGAATATTTTGGAAGATAAAATTAGAAGATATTTAGATTATGTCACGAAAGAATATAAGAATGAAGCTTCGAAGAGTAATTTCTTCGAATTCATCGATTTAAAGACTGTTGGTCATTTATTGGACGACAGAACGCATCTCGTAGAGAATATTCAAAATTTACAGGATCTAGGTGAATAGAGAAAATGCTTATTGATATTTTTCTATTAAATTTCTCATATTGCCTATAATACATAATTTTTTTTCATAGCGAAACAGGATGTAGAGATGAAAAAGCTAGCCAAGGAAGAAGAAACACTGTACAAGGAACAGTTGAACGAACTCGATGAGAGACTGTTAGACAATATATTGATCAATATATGCAAAGAATCTTATGATAGTATTATCATCGAGATAACGGCAGGTGTTGGTGGTCAGGAAGCAATGTTATTTGTTAAGGATCTATATGAAATGTACATGGGTTATGCCAAATATTTAGACTTAACTCACGAAGTGATCGATATGGAGACAAATGATAACAATGGTATTAGGCATGTCAGTATTTTGTTGTCTGGTGATGAAACCTACAAATTGCAATACGAGGGCGGCGTACATCGAGTACAACGGATACCAGCCACAGAAAGATCAGGCCGAGTACACACTAGTACAGCTTCGGTAGCAATTTTACCAACGCCATCAAAAGTACAAATCGTAATTAATGATAAGGATCTAAAGATTGAGACAAAAAGAGCGTCTGGCGCGGGTGGTCAGCACGTGAATACCACAGATTCCGCGGTAAGAATAATTTACTTACCGAGCGGGCTATCTGTGTCCTGTCAAATGCACAGATCCCAAATCAAGAACAAGGAAGTAGCAATGATTAAGCTGAGAAGTATTTTGTATGAGCAACAATTAAATAAACAGACAACATTCATAAGTGAGCTACGACAAAAACAGATGGGAATGAAATCTAGAAATGAGAAGGTCAGAACATATAACTACAATCAGGATCGTGTGACCGATCATAGGCTACAGAATGGAACTATGTATAACTTGCCAGAGTTTATGCAAGGTGGAGTAGCGCTAGAAAAGCTAGAGGAAAGATTGCACAAAGATATACAGATGAAAACTCTTTTAGAAATAATTAATAAATTGCAAACCCAAATAAAATATTAATTTTCTCTCAAATTATTCTGATACAAAAAATGTCCACTTTATATAAGTAAGCCATTGTATATAGCAAGTTGTAATAAAAATTATATAATAGAAACAAGAATTATATTTCTTTGATCTTATGAGGAAACTATCATTATCTTTTTTTTTTAGCAATAATACAAATTGTTCCAGTGATTTGCTCGATAAATGCACAAGATTTCATTAATCTTTTTTATTATCTTAATATAAGATAATCATTTTTATATCTAAATTGCGTGCTAAAAAACACGTAACTTTATGCATTTTGTTAAATACAAAAGTATAAATACAATAATATACAAAATTCTCAGATGAGGTTTATAATTCCATCTTATAAATTATATATGGTGGCTTCTCTTTACTCTTTTATAGTCGCGAACAAATTTCTCGTCGCTAATGTACACATACACATACATATATATCTTTTCATAAATAAATTCTTGTATGCTATCTTGATTACATTCAAGTAGATTGCACACATGATTGTTCTCTGAATACATTTCAGCATGCAATATTGCGATTCCAGCAAAAATCTATCATTATTTTTTTCATTTAAAGTATCTAAGATTATCTATATCTAATTTTTTAATAGGGGCTTTTGTACTTTTGCGGATATGCAAATATCCTGAAACAATCATTTATCAGAGATTAGCCCCACTATCTTTCTTTATTTCTTCATTATGGGGATTTATTTTTTCGTCTTTGTCATTTCCTAAATAAAAAATATTATATAATTATAATTTCTACATATTAATTTGCAAAAATCAAATAGAAAAAATATATATATAATTTAATACCTTTTGATTCCAATTTTACATCATCCTCTTTTTTCATATTAATATTTATGATATGCATATCCATATCCTGACCTTTTTCCAAACGTGGTCGCTTCTTAGTTCCCTTTATTCAAAAAAATGAGATAAAACAACTCACAATGTTATTTCATGTTGTCGTGTCATATATATAATGAATTTTCTGATAAAAATTAATTAAATATATTTGTGTGTATCGCATATGTATGTGTATCATATATATATATATATATATATATATATATATATATATATATATTAAATTATTAAAAATCATTACTTTATATGATCTGTTATCTCTTCGTCCACCTTCTCCTTCATCTTCACTATCACTGTATTCATTTTCATGTTGTATCCTCTTGTCCAAGTCATGTTGAGACAATCTTTCATCAAGATTCATCTTTTCTTCTGGTTCAAAAACATCAACAATGGCACCGTCCTCTGGTATTGCTTGAACTTGCACACCAGGTGCATGAGGTAACATTCTTAAGTTTTCAAATAATCTTGTTCTACAATTAAATATAATTAATTTTAATTGTACTGTACATACAAATAAAAAAAATAATACCACAAATATGACTTACTTAATTTTTTCAAGATATTCAGGAGTGTTTTGATTTGTCATATTTGAGGGACTTATGTGTAATTTAAAGTCAGGACCAAAGTATTCAAAATAATCATTATATGGTAATTCATTTGCGATTTCGGATCCCAGAGCTACAGATGTCTCATATGTCCAACATCTGGACACATTTCTGATTGTATAACCGCCACCTCCTACCATCAAGAAAGGTAAATTATATCTCTTTACAAATTCCACGCATTTGCCATGTCCCTTCACAGTCAAATTAAAACATCCCAATCGGTCGCCTGAATTGGAGTGAATTAAAGTTTAAGTTAAAGACAACTTTATGTAATCTTATGATAATAATTTGTTTTAAAATTTTACCCGTCAATGAATCAGCACCACATTGCAAAACGACAGCAGAAGGTTGAAAAGTTTCCATTACTTTTGAAATGATAGGAACAAATATTGATTCGTAACTTTCATCATCCATACCATCCCTCAAAGGTATGTTAACAGCATAATATTTTCCCTATTAGAATTACAAGGAAAAATCGTATATGCATGAATGTATACATTAATAATAATTTTAGTAATAATTTATAATAATTTTAAATAAATAATAAAAGTAAAATAATGAAGACATAATTATAATATTTAAATAATTCTTCTCACCTTTCCTGCTCCAATATCGCGGAGATCTCCAGTTCCAGGGAAATATTCACCATATTTATGAAATGAAACTGTCATTACTCTATCTGTTGTATAAAAAGCTTCCTCCACACCATCGCCATGATGAACATCAATGTCAATGTACAGAACTCTTTGATGATATTTCAGTAGTTCCAAAATTCCGAGCACAATGTCGTTTACATAACAAAAACCTGACGCTTCACTTTTTTTTGCGTGATGCAAGCCACCACCCCAATTGATGCAGATTTCTGAGGCTTGTTTGTTGAGTTTGACAGCGGCAGCTACAGATCCACCAGCTGATAATTGACAAAACTCATACAAGCCATCAAAGACAGGACAATCTTCTCCTACATTAACTGTCACAAAAAACATGAAAATGTTTTTAATTCTAAAATGTTTTTATATTAATAATTAATATAGCTTATTCAGCAAGAATGTCTTACATCGTTGCATTTGTTTGTTGTACTCTGTCATATTATCTGGCCGTATAGATCTCAAAAATCGGATGTAATCGTCGCTATGAAACTTTGTCATTTCTTCTTGTGTCGCTTTATGAGGCCGCTAGTAACAATTTGAGATATATTTCATGACTGCATCAAGAGAATTGTTTTTTCATACAAATAAAATAATGAAAAATTCTTACATATATTTCCATCTTTCTATAAAGCCCATAATTCAAGAGTAAATTGTGTGTCATCTTTATACGATGAGGTTTCATCGGATGTCCTTGACCATAATAATAATTTCCAATATCACCTAGAGAAATAAAAAATATATATCATACATGTTGGTAATAAAATAATTGATACGGTATGATTGAAGAAATATAATGTGTATGTAATATAATGCATCAAAAAATGCGTTTAAAAAGAGAAACTATGGTACGCTGGAGTACACTTGAGAATCTCCCGTAACTTTCTATAAAAAATAAACAATTTTCACTAAATTTGCAAACCGATTTACATACAAATATTCTTTCGGCTAAAGCGTAAATTATACATAACGAGAAATAATTGAAATCTACATTACTCGATAATTTCGCAAAATCTAGGTATTTCTCACGATTTTGAAAGCTTAAAATAGATTTTTTTTTTATTACAAAATAATGTCCTATTATTATAATAAAAATTACAATTTTAAATATAATATTTAATTATTGTTTTAGGCAAAAATTTGGAAAATTATCTGTTTAAATGTTTCGAAAATAGACCTTTTTTCTCACTAACGTACGATAAAATTATTACACGAAAAATCTATATTTAGGAATTAAATTATCTATTAGATATAATCATAGGTAATCGATGAATTATAATTATTAAGATGTGATAACTAGGAATGACTCGAAGATTCTCTATGGTGACTGTACATACTGGAGGTATGGCTGACACTATAGTCGCGCGAAGTGAAGCTGAGAATCTACCGGCTTAACTCTGCGAAAATCGTATTATCGAAGACAAGGATACAAATTTTGATATATTACATTAAAACATAATCGCATTTTGTAACCTTTATAAATCGATGAAGCACAAACAAGCTAATAAACAATTATGCCGAGCTAAGTAGAAGACAGATATTATATGAGAAAACGTACGAACGCGCTAACCCCTCTCTTTCTCTCTCTCTCTCTCTATGTCTGAACACCTGATAGTCTCGAAGTACATTTTCACAGATTTTCGCTTCGATTTTCTCAGTACTTACTGTCATAATAATAGCAGACACGTTTCTTAGGCTGCTGCATCACTCTACTCAGATTAAAATCAATAAAACACGTAGAGTGGAATTAAACGTAGGAATCGCGTTACGATGATTATAAAACCAAAATTCCTCCTGCAATTGCTTCGACTTGCACCCGAATGCACTCCAATGATTTTGTTAGAAGGGGAAAACTCCCCTCTCGAAAGAGGTTGAAGGATTAATCTTAGTGACATCTGTTTCGGAACTAATTTGGTCACGTGATGACATGACGAAAAACCGCGCTAAATTCAAATCGATATTCAAATATGCTTACAAAGCTTCGTTATATCGTACATTTTAATTATACAATAATTTACTATTTTAAATTTAATCTAGTTATATTCTCTATAAAAGAGATAAGTCATAGATCATCATGGATTTATCTCTTAGAAAAGACATGTTTGATTAATTTAAAGTATCAAAATTCTCTTGAAAGCATCGGAGCTTATATTATTATCTTTTTGAGATATATTTTTTCAGCACTTGTTAAAACGGATGTTAATAATGTCTATATCAATGTTCAGAAAAAATATTTTATCATGCAACTGTTTCCGATTTTTTCCTCTTTTTAAAAGTATGTAAAATGATCAAATAATTAAACAGAACTCTATGTATATTTCTATAAGGAAATTTGAACAGATGCTATCAAAATGCGCCGATATATATATAAATGATAAAACAAGAGAAGAGTAATGGAGATGGCAAAATTTAAAATTATATATAAAAATTAAACTCTTCTATATGTGCGTACAATAATAATCTAAAAATAAATAGAAGAACATGACATTGAAAAACAAAACAGATATTACGACTATAATCAAGCTCGAATAATCGATGATCATCTCCAAATAAAGCTTTTTATAACTTAAAAGAGTTTGCGTAAAAGTAAAGTGATAACGCTGCAGAAGAAAAGATAGGATAAGGACGCGAAACATGTGTTGGAAATAGTAAGAAAGCTGGAGACGTAATTGAAGTAAATAAACTCTCTTCTTCCCTTGAAAAGTCGTCATTTTGATACGAAAACTTTCTCGTTTTACATAGGCAAGCCATTGTACATAGCAAATTGTAATAAACTCTATGTAATACAAACAACATCCTCCGTCCTTTGAACAGAACTCGTTTTTTCTTCTTGCAACGAGATCACTATCCGAAAATCGGAGTTTAGCTTATATATGTACTGATACACACAGCACCATACACACATCTACATACATACAGACACACATACACATACATACATACATACATATTGCATATATATACATATACATATATATATATATATATATATATATATATATATATATATATGTATATATGCAGAATATTCAGTGATTTATTTTCGATAAACATACAACAAGAGACTTTGTATTTTTCTCCCTTTTTCTTTTTCCTGTCTTAACCGCGTGTCCAAAGGCACACACTTCTTTACATGTACATTTCGTATATATGATACAATAATACAAAATTAACTTTTTGTAATATTCTATAAATGTCAAATGTGACGCATTGTCTCTTTCCGCGTCGTCATTTATAACAAAGCGCGTATTGTATGCGAATGTATTGTAGTGTACTCGTGAATATGCATTGTGTGTGATTTATGCGACCCTGCTCCGACAGCTAGAAAAATCCACGAATTACGAATATTACGAATAATATTACATTTACGCTGACCGAAGATCCCCCCAGAGCACTATAGTGTTCTATTATTATTACTTCTTACTATCTGTTCGATTGTCCTATCTATGTACTTGGCGCTAGGAACGCCTTTTGAAACAAATAATTTTATCAAGACATTTTCGGCAATGGCCATATTATCTGTCGATTCGAGCGCGATGTATTAAAAGAAAAATGGCTAAATTGTGAAAAGAATTGACAGAATTTTACCTGTCGAGGTTGAAAAAATGAACGTTTAATTTTAAAAAGAATTTCTAATGATTTTTTTCAATTCATTGATTCTTTAACAACGTATCAGAGTGGACCGACTCTTTCTTCGTCGAATTATATGAAAAATATCTTAGCCAAAGATGCTACACGCTAAACGCATCTATAATTCTGATCATCTAATCTTGATTTCTTGACGAATGACAATGGAGAATTTTGTATCTTAGTATTTTGATATCGATTGTGTTCGTCACGTTTGATTGATCGCGTAAAAATTGGGCGCACCGGGCAGGATCGGATAGCACATTAAATTCGTTTAAAGTAACTCGACTGTATTCGTATAAGATTTACAGCCTGCTGATCGCAATAACGAGAGGTAGAGAGCATGGAATATCTCAGAACATCTGCGATCAAGGTTGATACATGTTAATTTGCAATATTTAGAGATGTTTCATTATATTATTCATTATATAAAGTGTTTTTTAGAAAAATGTATAATTATAAAAAAATTTACTATATTTTTTAATTAAATCTACATAATATAAAAATATACGTATCTGGAAATATTTTAACTGAAGTAAAAAGAGAGATGATTATTTTACTTTCATTATTTTTCCCTATTTACTCAAATTTTGTTAAAGTAAATATAATCATAATCAGGAATTTCGAATTGCACAAAAATGACTTATTGACTGAAAAAATCAACGAGAAATTAGATGGAAAATCGAATTTATAATGTAGCAACCCCGATCGTCGAAGAAAACGTGAAAAGTACAAATATTCATATACGCTCATCAAGCGAGGTTTCATTCGGATTACACAAGGCGACAGTCGAGAGTTCGATTCGCGGCGAATATAAGTATCAATTAATTTGACACCGATTGTTGGCTGTGAATTCAGCTTCATCTTAAAGAAGGACGACTCTCTTTTTAGCCAGCGCACATGTCAGCAACAATGTCAGCACCAGGAGACACAGATTTGATCTAATGTTCGTCGCCAGGCCGCACTGATCCTTGATCTCGCTCTCACGAAGATGCGTACGTATGCAGGATTGCGGTCGCTTTCGCTTGAGGTTCATTATCGCTTTCTGGCAGACCAGAGTGTTGTTTCCGTAGGCGACTTCCTCGGGAGTAATGCTTAATATCGACGATGCTGTGTCGCCGCATCCAATGTTCACCACCACTAGTAGCAAATTGGTTAAGTTCAGCGGCTGTATCATATACGGTCGTATGCACTCGTCCGCACCCACGTCGTACATGTCGAACGAGGTGTTGCGCAAATACAGATCTACCTGTAGATAATGTGGATAATGATGTATAAATGTTAAAGAACAAAATAAATTGTCATTGATTTTATTATTAGGTTGAGATTGCTATATTTTATCATAAGATTCCATAAGATTATTTTTTCTTCTTGTCAATTATCAATTTTTTGTAACTCAAAGATGTTTTGATCTCGTTTTATCTCGACTCGATATCGATCGGACATAATGGATTATAAATATGATCACAAGGATAATATTTTATCTTCGGAAGAATGAAAAACGTAACAGTATTAATAGATAAAAGAGAGATGATAGTGCATAATAACATTCAGGTTTACCTCTTGATCGCACACTTCTAAACGTGTACGATTGATCAAAACACTATCTTGGTTGATGGTTCTCTCGTCCTTTGAATCAGCTGAAGATTTTTCTTGGTTTTCATGATCGTCGTGATCATCGTGAACGGTTTCCTCGTCATTGGCATAGCCGTACGCCCCCGCATAATCAGGCTCCAATATGCCCGTCTTTGCCCAGAGCCAAGCGGCTTGACTGATCAACCACGACAATGTCTTCCGAAGATGTTTCCACGGCTGCGGCGCAATAATTTTAGAGCAAATAAAACTTTGATTATGATTGCAGAAATAATGATCAAAGTACTGTTCCCAATCATATTATTCAGATTGAGAAAGGAATATTTTCACGTACATGCGCTTTTAATAGAGCAATAATTTTTTTTTTTAATTCTTCAGATAGAATATCAAAGAGATTATTTACCTGGTTTTTCTAAAAAATTGAAGTTCAATTTAAAATCTTATCACAAATAAAATTCTTACTGTGAATAATTCATTGCCAGCGTTGTTGGACTGCGTATTCTTGAAGCATACTGCTTGATAGTCGAAGATCTTTATTCTCTCAAAGACACCCTCTTTGACCAAGCTAATCATTATAGAACCTCTGACTTCACCGAAGAATTTACCGGTGTCCGTTTCATCCTTGGCAGCAACTATGTAACCGTTATTGTCAATCAAGTAACATGTCCAGGCATCATCGCCGCAATGTTTGTAACAATTGGTGCTTTCCCCGCAGCTAAATGTTATGTTCTGCAAATACGATTGCAAGACAGTTTGCTGGAACTGGAAACCGACCACCGCGACCGGCGCCTTCTTCTTCTCCTCTTGTCCTACAGATATATTTTCATAGATTTAATGTCTTCTTTTGCTATACATATAATTTAAATTATTGTATATGTATAAGTGAATTATATAAAGCTTCTTTAAACTCTCCCACATCGTCGATATCAAAATTATTCCTATTAAATTATTAATACTATTGAATTTTCACTAAAGTTATTTATTTTTAATCTCGCGATTAATTTATTTTTTAAACATTCGAAATTTGAACAAATATATAACTTCTGAAAATTTCTTTCTTTTCTTCAGCTTTAGACAATTTAATATTTAATGAATGTTTCGTTTATTTTAAGAAAATTAATCTAGAAAATTTTCAAAAAAATTGTATAAGGCGGATACTGAAGCTTATCGTTTCATGAATTTGAACATTTTTAGAAAGAGATTTTAATATTTTAAAAGAGACACACGTTCTTCTTTTATCTTAAAGACAGTGATGAATTTGATGTCGATTTACCAATGAATATCGCACGACTGACAGTGACCAGAGTAGTGTTGTCGACACCTTCCTCATCGATTGGAATGGAGAAAACAAAGTTGTCCGGATTCACGTAATATTGCTCGACTGCTCGTTTGTACCACACCTCATCGATGGCTCGAGGATACAGCTTGCTGAAATGATCATTTGGTAGCGGTACATCCTCTTCCAAGTCCTGCCATCTGGTCAGCCCGCTGCGCGTGGCTACGAACGCCAGAATCACCCCGAAACGTTGTTTGAAATCCTTCCTGTGAGAGAGAACACTTTAGAAACGTTGAATCGGGTCGCTTGCGAATCAAGCTGGCGTTTACTCGCGCTTTTATAGGAGCATATATATAAACTTGGCTCTATACGACGTATACAAGCCTCTTAAAATCGTACGCAAGCCCAACTCCTAACTCCCTTGCACCATTGTCTGAATAATATTTTATCGAAATTCATATTTTCGAATAGAAAAGAACAAGAGAAATTGCAACTATTGCTTTGTTCTAATTTTTAATTTTAACGATCAATTATCCATTAGATAATTTATATTATATAAATAAAATCACATGATAAATCACTCTATATTATATTATATCTACTAACTTTTTTATTATCGAATACTGAGAAGATTTTGCATTAAAAGTTTTTATGATGTTTTATGATGTTTATAAAGAGAAGATTTTACTTTTCACTTTTGTGAAATGGCGCAAACGAGCCGCGATGGATATTTTTAAAAACACTGTTACAGCAATCAATTAATCACACGTCAGGAAAATCCTCTTGCTTTCGCGGTGTTGCTCGCAAAAAGCGTTCCTCCTCTTCCTGTTCCTAAAAGATGACGTTCGCCCTACGACAGCTTGCAAGCTAATATGCCGATCTCCAAGTGTCGAAAGACAAAGAGGAAGAAATAGAATAAGGAAAAAAAAAGAAAAGAAAAGTTAATAGATTATATTAATAAAATATATTACTTTACGAAAAATAAGCGAATTAAATTTTACGAAAATAAGAGACTATCTGGAAAAATAGTGAAAGATTCTGGCAATTTTTCTACGATACTCGAGACAAAATTGTTTTTATTCCAACGCAAGCATAAATAAGACAATGATAATTTTTAAGAATGAAAAACGGAAAGTAAAATAAAGTGAAAGAGAAAAAAGTTCCAAACAAGACAACTTCTGAAGAGAGCGACAGAGCTAAGAAGAGAGAAGAAAGAAGATAAGGAAAGAGAGGAGAGTCAGCGCTCGTATTATAATATACGATACACGAATGATCGAGAATTAACTTGTTACTTTCTAAAAATGTAAGGTGCGTTGTGATGGCGTTACCTGGGCATCTGTGTCATCAGCCTAGCTAAAGGTCTGCATGGCGTCAAAGTGGTAAGTACATTAGTCAAAAGGAACAGGTGCATTTTCTATCCTCATAAAAATAAGAGAAATAAGACAGACAAATAGAGAAAAAGAGTGAAGAATTGTGCATAAAATAGAAAAACAAAGTAAAACACGGAACGGAGTATTCGTGTGTAAAAGTGACCACGTGTAAGTTTTAATTCTGACAAGGAAATAATGGTAGAGAAAGAATGACGTCTCTCCGTCCTAAAGACTCGCTGAGCAACGACTAGTCAATCGTTCAGTAATGAATATAAATATGATAAACTGTTTATCAAACTGTTTATTTCTAAATCTTTGCAACTGAAGAATTTATATAATGTCCTGTTAACTTTTTATCATAGTTTCCTCTCTTTTATTTGTACTTTTTGACAAATAATGTCTTTGAAAATCGACGCCACATAAAGTGATGTTTATTCTAATACAAATCTAATGTCGATTTTAGATTGATGATCAATATCAAAATGTAAAATTTTATAAAACTCGGGGATGATTTTCTTAGAAAATTTGACCGACTAATCGCGTACTCGTTTAGACGCGAATGAAAGGAAAATTCGTTTATTGTTTTCACGAGTAGCCTGGCCATGCTGTGTAGAACGCTCTTTTACGTCGGCTAATAAATCAAAATTATGCTCACCCTGATTCATCATGATTACTGGTTACTATGCTTTGTTGAGTAAACCACTCGGTCATCTTCGCATCGTATACCAGACTGAGCAGTAAATTTCTGTCGCAGTAGTATGAGTTCTTGTCGGTCTTGGAGGGGTTAGCTATCGAATTGATGGGAATAACTTTAGACGTGCAATTAACTTTAAGCTTACGAAAATTATAAAAAGTAATTCCACAAAAAAAGAATACATATATAAATTACATTATACGAACATAGTGATGGGAATTATTACGTACTATGAGAATTATGACTAGAAGCTGAAGCGGACTTTTCCGGCGGCTGGGATCGCCACTTACTCTCGATCCACTTCCAGCCTGGTTGGCGGGCACGCTCCAGAAAATGTAGGAGCTGCATCTCCGAGGTGTTGAACTTATGTTCACCCTCGTAGTGGTACCTAACGTTTGCGTGAGATTAACATAAACATTTGTGTCCGTGTTCCATTCTTTCTAATCGCATCTCTTTTACATTTCCGCAATTTCTCTTTTCTCTCGAGACTTACTTGCAGTACATCCAATCAGGGTGCACCCGCCAATTACTACCCGCGAAGTAATCTGTTACGTTTTTCCCTACAATAGTTCAATTCATTCAACTTTAACATAAAAAATCAAGACACAGATCAGCGACGAAAGCCTCTTGTTTAAGAGAAAAATTGAAAATCAAAACATTATCACTTTAATAACTTTGATCTTCAATGCAATGAAAAGAAACAAATTTTGCGTCAATTATTGTGTTCTTCCATTATCGCCAAATATAAGTATCATTTTTGTATATTTATAGCTCTGCAAAAATTAAATTCACTCGGAAATTATATCTTTAAAATATTAAAATATAAAAATATAAGTCACAGAAATTATTTTCGTAATATCAATTTATCGTAATAAATTGAGTTTTAATTAAATTTAAAAAAAAATACACACATATCATAACCATCGAAAAATTTTCTAGCGTAAAATCCAGATTACTTACCGAATAATTTATGAGAGGTAGCATTTTGTTTGTTAAAGTCGACACGGTAATCATCCTCTACACGCCAGAAGTATTTTTCTATCGAAAAATTTAACTATATGAAGCGTCTGATGATGTGATTTTCACAACAATTTTAAGGCGAAGTTCGCGAGCAAACTTATCTCTTGTGTACTATAACTTTTGTCAAGGTTTTTACAATTTTAATACTATTGAATATGTCAAACTTTCTCTTAGTTTGTTTGATCATATATATAATTTTCTACTTCAAAATCTTATTATCTATTCATTCGCGTACATTTTCAACAAATCTTTACAATAAAATGTATTCATGATTTATATTTCTCGAAATATACTTAAATATATAATTTATGATGATAAATTCTGATAAAATTTTTAGTCGATATTTTACGTGAAATAATTTTTATCATTATTTTAAATATCTTCAAGAGTCAAAAGCATAATAATAATAATGCTGGCAAGGAAGTTGTTAGAAAAGGATCGATCAAATTCTAAATTGTATGATAATATTTTATCATTAGAAGCTTTCGTCGCTGCAGGATAATTTATCAGAAATTTAAAATGCGTACCTTTAGCGTGAGAGCGATGTATTTCTTCGATATCATGTACGCGATAACTTCCGGTGTGCTCGTATTCGGGCAAGCTGACCACCACCGTGAATGGTGTGTCCGTGATTCCCATATAATCATATTTTCTCTTTACTCTGCCGACGCGTTTCTAAAACAATCAATACAATATCAATTGACAATGAAATAATACGAATCGATCGTTTCAGAGAAAAGAAGCTATTCATAAATTTTTATTTTTTTTTATAAAAAATTAAACGCGAAAAGACATCTACTCCTACATTAAAATATCATCGTTATGAAAATTTATTTTAAAAATCCTTTCTAAAATAAATAATTTAAATAATAAAACGACATAATAAAAAAATAGAAAGCTTCAAAAAATTGAAATATTATTTTCTGTGATGCAACATTTCTGTGAAAATAATGAGAATACTAAAAGAAGTCTTTAATTGTAACTACAAGATAATCTACAAGATTAAAATCGATAAAATCAATAAATAAATCATGTATTTACGAATATTTATTATTTTAAATATCCTTGTAATGTACTCACCATATCGTCATAATGATACTTTGTATGAAGCGTCACGCTACCATTTGTCTGATTCACCACGTCGTTGCGAAGCTATAGAAAACGCAATAAACTAGTATAAAATGACTTAATAATTGTCAGCGACACGTGTAACATCTAACAAGAGTGTTGCTCAAGTTTCATGCGTGCGTGTCATTAATGTGTGTCTTGTGACTTTTATTACAGAAATTACTTTCTTCATTTGCGCTGAAAGCCTGCAAGACCTTACGAAGCGATTTCTTATTTATTTACCATAATGATTCCTTCATCGAATTCCCTGGGGCCTCTGTCTGAGTCCATTAATTCGACCTCCGCCATATCGACGCTGTTATACGCTGGCTTTAAGATGCCCTTGAACTGATTTTTCACATTTTTATTTCTATCATACTTTTGTTTACTTTTATTTTATTAAAGTCAATATCTCAATATCTCAATTTCGATAATATATAAGATAATAAAAATTAGTAATTCGATATAATATAAATACAAATCAAATTTCAAGATCTAAACGTGCATGCCCATGCAAAAAAGCTAAGCATAATTAGAAAAGTATATTTACCACTGGCCGGAGATCGGGATGAATCAGAATAAAACCATTGTTGGTGACGATGAAAGCATAACCATTGACGCCGAGCTGCTCCCACGTGAGAAGAATGAAAAAGAAAGAAAAGAAAAGAAATCGTATCATCGCGATTTACATTCGTCATAACGTCAATTGATACACCATCGGCTTCGTAAAGGCTATGATAGATATTAATAGCGTTTTCATGCCACTCTTCTTAATAGAGTCGTCGTTCGGTGCCCAAAGAGGCACTTGACCTCTCATTCAAGTATCTCGTTTATCATTTTAGTATCGTATTGTGAGTTTGTGCGATCACATAGTGTAACATCTATTTACAGACCTTGACTTTATAATCCCTAATAAATTTAATTTACGATAGCAACGATCTCAAACACGGCAGAAAAATAAAGACAGCATTAATAGTATAATGAGGATTGTGTATTTTTATTTCTTTCAATTATTTTCAAGAGATAATAAAAACTACTATCAATTATTTTAATCATAGTCGTCGAATTGTAAATTTTTGACGAATTAAATTTATATTTATATCTTTAAATATTTTGAATTATATTATACTTTCCTTTCACAAATCATTAATCAGTATTGTTGCGAACAATTCATTGTAATGATAAAAATAATCTCTTACAGGAATAAAGCGAGCTTAATTTGTGCAATGTTGCTCACCATGTGTGGCATCATCAGCTTTTGGATCTCATCGATCGGTACATCTGTGCCGGCAACACCGAGGAGATTGGCGATCATCGTCTGCGCAGACAATTATCGATACATTTATTAAAGAACCTGTCGCGTTGCGTGACATTACTATCATGTCATGACAACGTTGATATGTCGAAATAAATTACGAATTATCATCATCACCAAGTCGCATAACCAGAAGCGTATCTACCTTCTCCAACAACGTTCTATCACAATGAGTTCGTCTACAGAAACACGCTTTAATATATTAAGAAACCATATGTGCGAAAAATGATTACCCCCTCGCGTGTGTATGACAACAATGAGCATAAAATCATTTTTTAATTGATGGCCAGGTATATATTTTTCTGAGAAACGTGAATATGTTTATCCGAATTATTAAGATGTGAATAATTTTTAATTATATATTATTTTGTAAATTTTACAGAAAAATAATTATAGTAATATTTAGTAAATAGTAAATAATTTTTTTTGTAATTAAGGATATTTGTTACATATGTATTGCACAAGATGAGAAATAATTGAAAAATGTATCGATATTATAAAATAAATAGATCGTAAATATTGAAGATGCATTTTTGTATTTTTATTTCGGAAATGTGTAAAAATGCGCGCGAGAGGGACGAGCAATAAAAGAGTGTGAGTCTCTTGCGATTAGACGCAATAACTAGTTCAACTACTGTCTCAATTATGTGTGATAATAATAAGAATAGTAATAACGATACACAATAAAAACTATAGTAATTAAACAACAAATTCTTTCTATGATTAATTAACAACATCGGATCAGGCTATCCTAAGTGTTAGTTCAAGTAACAATTAGCTCTGTTATTTCAAAGTGATGACCTTTTTCTCTTTCTCTCTCTTTATTTTTCATCTGATAAAAAGAAATGTGAAATATTTCATGTGAAATATTTTAAAATATTTTAAGATTTGAAATATTTTGTTATCGTATGTGAATATATTATAGAAATAATACCAATTGTATATGACTACCATATAAGAGGAAAAAAAATTTGTTTCCTTTCAATGGCATCAAAAGAATTAATTACGATAATTTTTCTCAAAGAGATAGAGATCATCGCTTGAATTAGATCTACAAATGTCTCTGACTAACGAAATCTAGCACTCAATAAACTGTCAAATTCGTATTCGTGTACGTGCGTGTCTGTTGTTGCTCGCGATGGAAGGAGCAAGTGATCGGAAGAAGCAATTAGTTATCGTCATTGTATAAAATAAATTATGTTATTCTCCTGAAAAGTCAATGAACTTTAAACTTGAAACTTCTTTTCGAAATTTTTTACTTGCTCCTTCGATTCAATATCTTTCTTTCGTATTATAGAAATATATAGTTATAGTCTGCAGAAACGATCTCTACGAATCAATCTTTACGAGGATTCTTTTTTCGTTGTACGCAAATCAACAGGCGGGCAGAACTTTGCCTTTTTTTCTACTCGTCTCGACAGGACACAGGGTAGACTAACGTACCTAAACCTACCTAATGACTTGAAATAATTTCAATAACTAGTATTAGAGATTAACACAAGATACCAGAGAGTCGAATGTGGACCTAAAAGAGATCTATGCGCGTCTACGACCTCGTCCATCTTTTATATCGCGGTTATATGTTCTTGCTGCCATGAATATCGATGATTTAAAAATCTTCTTGCCAAAGTAAACAAATTTTGAAATATAATTGCAGTGAAATTCGAATAACATTCTTTAAAATTTGACAAATAATAAATTAAGATCCATTAAATGACAATTATAAATATTGGATGACAAAGATGAGATCGTAGGTCGTCGATCGCACGAAAATGAAAGATAAAAAATATAGGATACACTATATGCATCATAGAGCAACGTTGCTTGAGTTTTTTGTTTTAGCTGCCAACCTCTCTTGTCTCTGTCACCCAGTACGCTTCGTTCATCAGCACCTGCCTTGTGATGTTCTGTGGACAAAGAGGGACTTAAAACAAGCAAGTGCAGGATGAATATATACCTCAAGGAAATGTGATTCGCGAGGGATTTTTATCTCATATCTATCCTTTTCGTCAACAAGCTGCATTTTTATATATTTCGAAGAATTAATGAGAATGTCGCGAAGAATATGATTCGTATATGAAAATGTAAAGAGCAAACGAGAGCAAAAAAAGACAAAATGAATGATATTTAATAATGATTGTCGAAGAAAAACCATTTTGTTTGGACGAACTCGATCCTTTACGAACTTGATCCTTTATCGACAACGTATGAACGTACGATTGTCGCCTTTTCACCAGCCGACTTTCGATGTTGTACGATATCAAACGATATAATGGAAGATTAGATCAGAAACCTTACCGCGTTTTCGCGTTGATCGAACACAGGCATGCTGACCGAGGTCATCAGCTTGTATTCCTGCCATCCGTTCGTCTGATCGTGCCCTCGCTTCTCGTTCTTCACAAATCGCCGATCCTGGTAGTATTCCATGTTAGCGACCTTCTTGTTCTGCAAGCTTTTGTGGAACAAAAAACGGTCCTTCTGGTCCTGATTTTCGCGCTGTTCCCAATACCAATCGGTCATTTTCGGATCCGTTATGTCGGCGTAAACAGGTGTCCAAATAGTCGGATGATCCGTACGACCCAGCACCAAAGGTCTCGCCATCACCGGTACGTACTTTAACACCTAACGAATCCAAAAATTGCACGTAATCTCATAAAAAAATAAAAAAATAAATTGATAAATGACTTACCTCTTCTCTCACTTCTGCCGGAGTGCATAGATGAACGTAATATCCTCTGTTTGCACAAGCCATCCATTGTACTTCACGCACATCCGCGACTTCCCGGCCAATTAGATATGTGAATACTCTGACGGGCATATCAGCCTTCAGTGGTTCGTCCGGATTGTCCTTCCAATTGTACGCCTCGAAGATCTCCTTGAAGTTGTATGGCACTCCGTCGGTGATCAGCATAATCGCCTGATTGCACTTGGCACCTTCTCGCTCGGTGCGAAATGTTTCAAGTAGTTCAAAGGCAGTAGTCAGAGCCAAGGAAAAGTTGGCTATCTTCTCCGTAACAAGCTTCTCGATGGCTAGTTTCAGCTCGCGCACGTTCGCCAGGTTCGCCTGTACTAGAGTGTCACTGAAGCATGGAACTACCTGCAAATTCATCAATTAATTAATAATTATGATTATTTAATTTAATACTTCACATAAAACCGATATGCTCAGAAATTATTCTTATCATATCTAGAATATGTAATTTAAATTCTAGCTTTTTTTAAATTTACAAATATTTGATATCTAACTTAAATCTAATTTTAATTTATTCAACTTTTCTACAGAGACGTTATAATTGATTTTGTCACATATTTAAATTTTCCTGTATTAAATCTGTATTCTATTCTATTGACATTTTGCGATATATCTTCGATTTTTTAAAATATTTTTTCAATATCTTTTCTGAATTATTATTATTATTATTATTTTTATTACTATTATTTTTATTTTTATTAAAATCATTCAGACAGGCATAGAGAGCTGGAGATCATTATTAGTCGCGAATTATACAGATTAAATAATAATAAACATTAATAGGTTGAAAATTCAGTTTTAATAATACATAGATGTTTAGACAATTTAAGAGCGGACATTTCGACTTATATTTAAAAGTCATACACAGAAAAATTAATACTAGTATAATGAACGTTATTTTGTCATTTATATTCGTACCTTCGAAGAAGGAAGTAACATACAGTTTTATAAAGTTTTTCCAGTGACAGATAAATTAATATAATTCGGACTCATCATGATATTGTAAGTTACTTTTATCTCACTGGGCTTAATAACTTCTTAATTTTGATTTAATTATTTTAATTTTAATAATTTATATTCTGTTCATTGTTTAAAGTCTCATTTCAAATGTAAATATTGCGAATCCATGGTTGACAATTACTTTACTTATTTTTATAGTCTGACTATTGGTCTGCGGTTTGACAAACGTCCATTAGAACCACACAAAATTTAGGCCTATTAACTTAAACTTGTAAGGTCCGTTTTATTCATGGATATAACCGTAAGATGATCTCCCTACCGTTTTACTGCGAATTGAAATTCATTAAATATGTTTACTGCGTACAGCATCTGCTTACTTTCCGAGAATTAACATGCGCTGAAGATTACTTAAATATAAGTCGAAACGTCCGCTCTTAAATTGTCTAAACATCTATGTATTATTAAAACTGAATTTTCAACCTATTAATGTTTACTATTATTTAATCTGTATAATTCGCTAATAATGATCTCCAGCTCTCTATGCCTGTCTGAATGATTTTAATTTATTAATTAAGAGAGTTTTATTACTATTTAATTTATTTTTATTATTTATTAAAAATAAACAGAAAAGAAATTTATTTAATGTACAATAAAATATTTTAATCTTCAACAATTTAAATAATTAATTTTTCAGTTTTCTTCGAGTATTCTATTTCTTGAATTAATATTTCTTGACTGATTCAATTCTCTCAGATTGATTCTTACCTCTTTAGTCACATTAGAGAACGTGATAATGTTGACAAAATCATTGTTGCCGAGAGTGTCGAGGATGTTGTTAATCACGTGTCTGGCGATCTCCCGCCGCATACCCGTCATACTGCCAGAAGTGTCCATCAAGATGAGAATATCCTTGGGACTAGTAGCCGCCTCGATGTACCAGCTCCTCGTCCTGCAGTCGAACAGATCCACTGGATCCATATACCAACTCATAGCGGGATACTGGCGCATGAAGCCGGACGCACTACCAAAATACTGCCAGGACAATGACGGATCTCGGTTATAATTGTCGACGAAGATGGGATCGAGCTTTTCAGACCACTCGATCGCCCGGATGACGTCTGACGCGCGCTCGTATACATTCGTAGGCACATGCACTGTTGATTTGGTGGTATTTACATTGCCGCCGAAATGAGCACTATATTCGAGCTCGATGCTGTTGTTCTTTGCATTAATAAACTTATAGGATTCAGGTGGATCCACGTCCATGGACGATAGCGCTGATTGCTCTGCTGTGTCCATTATTCTCTGAAAGAGCGAAAGTAATTAATTGTCGCACTTGCAGTTGTAATTTAAACGAATAAAGCGACAATGATGAAGAAAAATTTCGTTCAGACATTAAATGATTGGTAAAATAAGAAGATCGCACCTTGATAGCCGAGATTTTGGACTCCATCATACGTTTGATGTCCTTAGCGATCTCGATGACGAGGGCGGCTCCGTCACGAGGCGCAACGGTCGTCGACTTGTAGTTCTCTTGAAATTTCTCCACCTTTGTCACGTACTTGGCCAATTGTGACAGTTCGAAGCTCAGCTTCTCTCCCCATGTCTTCACTCTATTACGTGAAAGAAAATAATCATAATAATATAAAAATGTAGAAAAGATATAATCGCTAGTCAAATAATCAAAGGATTATTGAAAAAATTATATTCGACCAGCCAGAAATTTCCTTTATTTAGCCAGAAATTTCCTTTATTTAGCCAGAAATTTCCTTTATTTAGTACGACGTTTCGACCATATGGTTGTGGTCCTTATCAAGTATATACTGGAAGGATTTAAAATACATTAAATTAACGGTTTGAATACATAAAAGCACAAACAGAATAAAGAGTAAAACAAAATTACTGATGAAATATAATAATCAAGACGCAAACATAGCACTTGTAAAAACCATCACGAGTCACAAATAAAAAACGTTATCTAATTAAATTCAAAAAACGAGAGAGACTGATGCGTCCTAAGTGACCTTTATTATTTTATCATAAATATTATTTAGATTATTTGTGTCTGTCTGTAAGTTGATGAGATTATCCGATCTCTTAATAAAAAACATCTCAGCAATCTCTCTTTTTCGAACATACGTTTCGCTATGTAAGATTTCGAGTTTCAACCAATCAAATTCGTGTCCAATCTGTGTTTGGTAATTACAGAGTGATTAGAAACATGTAACTTTATATTATTACAATGTTCCTTCACTCGTGTACGTAGATTTCTTTTTGTTTGACCTATGTATGATATGTTGCAATCTTTGCAATTTAATTTATATACAACGCTTGTCTTGTCGTTATTATGTAATCTGTCTTTACTGATATCTGTCTTTGGAAAAAGAGAGATTGCTGAGATGTTTTTTATTAAGAGATCGGATAATCTCATCAACTTACAGACAGACACAAATAATCTAAATAATATTTATGATAAAATAATAAAGGTCACTTAGTTGTGTCTCTCCCTCGAGATTCGTTTAGTTTTTCGACGAAGTCTCATACGGACGCATCAGTCTCTCTCGTTTTTTGAATTTAATTAGATAACGTTTTTTATTTGTGACTCGTGATGGTTTTTACAATTGCTATGTTTGCGTCTTGATTATTATATTTCATCGTATATACTTGATAAGGACCACAACCATATGGTCGAAACGTCGTACTAAATAAAGGAAATTTCTGGCTAGGTTGGTCGAATATAATTTTTTCAATAATCCTTTGATAATAATATAAATTATTATTATTATAGTAATTATGTAATTTTTATTAAAAAATATTCTGAAATCTAAATAAATTGTCATTTTATTATAATTAAAAAATGTATGCACATTATTTTCTTTTTTCAACAGTGCTATTTTGCAAGTTGCTATTTTTCATTCAGAAAAATATTTATATATATATATATCGAAATTTATTCTATATCCTATTTCTGGCTTCATCATCGATTTCTTATCGTATCGCAAAATAATTGAAATATAATTCTAATACGGCATCTATTTACGATAGCTCATACAATAAATAAAATGCAAATTAGAAAGCAATTTGTACTCTGTAAAAGTGAATCAGTGTATTATCACTGTAATCAGTGCTGTACTTATAATTGCTTGTCAGTGTTTATTGATCAGTATTTACTATTTTTCAGTGATAATACACTGATTCACTTTTAGAGAGTAGGCAATAATAACATTGTGTGAATAGTAATCTGATTGAACATGACAACAATTCGATAAAGCAACGATGATCTCATTCGCGAAAGGAATCCATTCCTCGAAAAGAAATGACGAATATACATATTTAAGCCATAATTATTTTCCATACACATGAATACATCAAATTAGAAAAACGTATTTTTACATATGAATAAATCAAAGAATTAAGAATTAGAATAACAATTTTTACATATAAATAAATCAAAGAAATTGCTTCTCTCAAATATCGTAAATTTGTGTGTGAAAAGCACATAGTAATTTAACTACATTTAAATGTAATGAATACGATTATAATTTTCGCAAAAACAAGTATCTTTTCGATGATAAATCACCGCAAGATTTTGCTTTATTCCTGAAAGTCCACTACTTTCTATAAAATGTGCCATCAGCATGACAGTCTCATCAATAAACACAGTCCTTCACGGTTGACCTAAATATCATTCGTCATCTCATTATCATGTATATGAATATAGCAAAGCGATCAGGCGAATCGTGTTGTTGCCATCAAGTTGCAAGGAAATGAACATTCTAAGTACGTACGTATTAATAGAAATGCTGTCACTACGATCAGGTGCCTCGATCAGGATCAGGACGATGACGATAGGAATGAAACAGGGCCTCATAACTTCCCCTGACCACCTTTTCTGGCCACCTTGTTGGTCCGCTCCTCCGATGGAGGGATAGTTCTCGCGAGGGTACGATAAACAAAACTGAAGCTCGCGTCTCACATCAATGATGTTCACGTCAATCGTCCTTGTCGTCGACGGCGTCGTCGTGTACGGTTAGCACTAACTCTGTGGCGACTCACTCGGGGTTTATGCGCCTTTCGAGTTTATCGATTTTTCGACTAGGCTTGCGCACGAGATAAACTGATGACGCGCCGACCACACCGACTATCAAGTGGAATAAAATCGTTTGTCCTTCGATTGTGCGCTTGGTTGTCGAAGACGAAGTTGATAATAGTACTTGTTACTGTCATATGTGCTCTGTCAATTTGCTTCACTATATGTTAGTTAAGCAAGATCGACTTGACAGAAAATGGTTGCACTCAGTGGATTCAATGTGGATCACGTTTTTAGATTTTCATATCTATTATATCTTCATATAATATATAAGAATTTAGAACGTTACCCAACTGTTGAATCTGTTGAATGCGATCATCTTGAAGCATAACGTATATATCTCCTATATATATCGTATTTTTTAATGAATGGTGATATACGATGCTGAGTTGGAATTATTTTTAATCTTCCAATTTTCTTAATGAAGATAACCCAGGCAAGATAAAAAGGTCACGAGATATTTTAAAGGCGTTTAAAAAAACGATATCTTCAAGTTATTTTTTAGATGTCCTTTAGGGATGTGTATTATCTAGGCCGAATTGTAATATCCCCATGAATAATAAATCTGTAGCAGAAAAAAATAGCAGAGAAAATTATAATAGTAATTTATATTATTAAAGCTTCAAAAATTATTTATTTACATATAACAGCATGAGTGCCCATGGGGGGGGAGGGGGCAAGGAGCATAAGCTCACCCTTGGATTTTAATATTTTAATTTGCTTTTTCTGAATAATTATTTTTCATAGTTTTATTTATACTAAATGAAGTATATATCTTATTTTTGAATCCTTAGTCCTTCACAACTTGAACAAAAATGGTGTGTGTATACACCATACACACACACACACGCGCGCGCGTACACGCACGCACGCACGTACCTAAGTATATGTATATTCTGCCTCCCCTCCCTCCAGAAAGTTATATGGGCGCTCATGTATAACAGTGTATGTTATAGAGAGTAATTTATTACATCTAGATACTGTATGCAAATTAAAAGTTACACTGTTATAGATTTATTCAAAATTTCTAAATAATTAATATGAATATTTTTATTTATTGGTATATCATTTGGTATTAGATAACTATTTATATAGTTATTATTAATTAAAATAGTTGATATAACATCGCAATTTAGAAGAAAACATACTTACTTAGGTGATACTTTTCTTATTATTTTATTTTTATGACTTTTCATTATAAAACAATAATGTATGTGTATACATGTATATGTGTATGTATATATGAATGTATGTGTATGTATATATGAATGTGTGTGTGTGTGTGTGTGTGTGTGTGTGTGTGTATGAGACTAAGTTTTTATTGTCATACAAAGGCATACAGAGCCTTAAAGACGGTAATCCATAATAACAACAGGGACATCGTCAATTCAGAGGATCCTCCGCAATCAATTTCAAGTTCCAGAGGATGTTCCGTGAAGCAACTTTTCAGCCTACGCCTCTTTAAAGCATTCAGCGGAATTTTGTGACAAGGTTTGTCGGTCGTGCTATTTGTGTACTCGAGGGGTGAGATGCTGACAGGGGTTACTTCCAGTCTTTTATAGCACGTTGGATACATGCTGTCCACCACGACCAAAAGGAGATTCGTATGCGTCACCTGTACATTATTGGCAATTATTCTTTCAAAATTCAGTTGCTACATTTTGACAAGAATTTTATATTAATAAAATTCAATTTTCAAAAAATCTTTATCAAAATTAATTATTAAAGAATATTGACACAATATTTATGTGTATTAATGCATTTTGACATATACACTAAAGAGAAAGAGAAAATTGGTACATAAATTCTAAGAATGTCGATCTAATATGAAAAAATGACTCAATTGACTCGTTGAAATGTACTAAATCTTACCAAATAATATAGATAATTTATGTTAAATACTTTATTGATTGGAATACTTTATTGATTTGCAAATTGATTCTTTTCAGGAAAATATTTGCATAATAATTAACATTTAAAAAATTATTCAATGAGCGATTCCATAATCTAATAGAATAAACAGTGGACAATATCTATCAGATGAAAAGTAAAAGATGTGAAAAGGTAAAGAGGATCATCGACATTATAAATCAATCGAGAAACGATCTCTCGTAAGTTCATTTCAATTTTTTTTCAAAGCTAAAATATTTGACAAAGATTTGTCGATCAGGTCCATTGACAGTACTTCATACATAAAATATCATGCTACTGTTAAATACCAATTTAAACCTATAATGGACACTCTCGTCTTTTTTGTCCAATACATATAATAACGCGTATTAAGTATTTTTAATTATTCATAATCTCTGCATGATAATTTGTAGTGATTTATCAATGAAATGTGTTAGTTCATGTAATAATTATATAAAATTATGATTATTAAAATGCACATATATTACAAGTTACCGAAAGTTGAAAATTAAACTGACACATAATGAAAGCAAAGCCGAACAACGAAAAAATTAATATGAAAGACGTAAAATTTAATCTGCTTTTAAAAATATAAAATTTTCTTTTCTTACTAATTCATAAAGATAATCTTTTCATTTCATAATTTAAAATGTGAGTCATAAAATGCCAACAGATATTTGATCTTCATACTCATTAAAACTTTCTTTTTTTTTACCTTCTTTAAGATCTTTAGCAAAAACAAGATATTAGAAACTGCGCGAGATATTTATAACTATACGTAGTTTTATATTTCACACTACGTACACGGTTAAATCAGTAAAATTATATATAGTCAGTTTTAGTTAAAGGAAATAAATATTTACACAGTTGGTGAAAATAAATATTTACTCTCTGAGCATAAAATGGCCTTGAGCAGTAATCGGAATGATTGGTGACGCCCTTGGCCGCGATGGTCTCATTCAGCATGTAAAGTGTCCGTTTCTGATCGCAAGGATAGTGATGGAGATAGCGGGTTGGTGGTGGTGACGGTGCAGGTGCGTCCTCATCGTTATGGACTTTGGCGTGGATACCAGGCAAATTTACAAATTGCGTCGCGAACCATATCAATCGCAGCAAAAACCAAACTAAGAGCCTACCAACGTATCGCAACGGTTCCATCATGTTGTTGGCAGAGTTACTGATTCGCTGGAACATTATGCATTTTCTTTCTCTTATAAAAATAATATACATATTCTAAAAAGAACTTTACACTATCTTCCATTATCATTTTTAAAACGCACGTAGTACAAAAAAAAAATATATATAATAGCCTCGCTAATTCCTCCAATATTATTTTGAAATGATATTTTTTATATAGAATTAATATTAATCAAACATATAAATATAGAAACATATTATTATTTTTATTGTTATTTATATATGTAACTATTATTATTATTAAAAACCTATATTATTAAGTAAGAGTGAAAATAGGAATTATTTTTGTCGCGCAAATTTTGATAAATATTTAAAAAATCGTAATTATAGGATTTAATTAAAAATTTGATTTATCCAATACTCTTCGGTACGAATACTTACAACCTCATGGCACCAAGCTTGATAGTCATAGATGTCAAATGAATTATAGAGACCTTGCCCGATCATGGACGTCATAATGGCGCCTTCCAGGGTGCCCATAAATTGCCCGGTATCGTTATGTCCCTCCGAAATAACTACGTAGCCGTTCTGATCCAACAGGTAGCAATCGATCCATTTATTGTTGCAATTCATGGCGGGATTCGTCGTCACTGAAGTAAGTGCGATGAATCGTTTATAGAGATCCGCCATTGACATTTGAAAGCCCACCACAGCTGCTGGCGCTTTCTTGCCACCATCCTTAGGCGAAAGGGTCATCGACGCCGTCACCACCGCATCCGTACCCGCTTCCCAGGGTACTGTAACAAAATTTTACCTTATATAATACATATTAATAAATAATTCTATATATAGTAAATGAAACACACTGTATAATAACATATACAAAATATAAAGATGTCTTTAATGATTTCTGAACGCTAGAGATGTAAAAATTAATTATAAAAGAGTTTCTCTCATCTCATCTTTTAGCGAATGCAATTTTTACCGGATAAAAAGATGCTGTTGGGATCCATCTCGTTTTGAAAGATCGCACCTTTGTACCAAGGTTCATTCACCGCTCGTCTGTGAAGATCGCCGAACACAATGCCGTCATCCGCATCCGCCAGTTTGCTAATATTGAGGTGATGCCATCTAGTCAGACCGCTTTGCGTCGCGATGAATCTTATGAAGATGCCGTAAAGCTCTGCTAGATTTCGGGCCTTGGGCGGCAAGTTCTCCAAGTAGTCGCCGCGGAAACTGTTATTTGTTGCCTTGGCGTCGAACACTAGCAACTGCATAAGTTCCTTGTTGCAGTAGTAATCGTCGTACTTGAGCGTTTGCCTGCCACAATTGGGCTCCTGATCGATCCCGTCTTCGTTCGCGGGTGGATAAGCCTCGTACTGTTCGGACCAGCGCCAACCGGGTCGACTCATCAGCGCCAGGAAATGGCGTACTTCGTCCTCGGGACGATCGAACCGGTGAGTCTCCAAATAGTGGTAGCGACAATACACCCAGCTCGGATGCACGCGCCAGTGATCGCCCGTAAAATAGTCCGACACGTTGATATTCATATTTTGATTCCGGCGGATCTCATCGCCGACCTTAAAGAATTTAACACGCGATTACTCGAGTACGTATGTAACATTATCATCGACAATTATTCGTCATAAAATTATAAAATTAGTTATCAATTATTTGATGGTTTATAATAATTATTTTTGATGGTTTAAAATATTTATTTTAATGGTTAATGCAATTAATTGCGCGCGAAGTTATTTAAGAGTGGACTGAATTACTGTTTACAACCTTGATCCAAGTCGTTCCATAATTAGGTAAGGCGACCGCGAGGCCGAACGGCGTGCCAGGCAAAGGCGCATAAAAGTAATTGCGTTTCTCAAGAGTGACACGACGATTATCATCGTAATGTAACTTCACGGGGATCCCTTTCATGCTACCATTCTTGTGATCGACCAACGCTGATCTCAGCTCCAATATTTCAGGACCAGGGTTCCTGCGCTCGTTTTGAAAAAAATGAAGAAAAAAATAATTGAAAAATATATATATACTTATTTTATGTTATGTTTTCTGAAATATAACTATAATTTTATTTTATTCCTTGATTGGATTTCTTAAAAGAAAAGAAGAAGAAAACCGGTAGTAGTATATTGAAGACGTTGCATGTTATATTACCTCGGCCCACGTCCGTCGTCAAGTACTTCGACCTCCGTGAGGTCAACACTATTATAGTTCATTTTAAGCTGGCCTTTGTAGACTGGCCGCAGATCCGGATGCAGTATCACGTAGCCGTTATTGGACACGATGAAGGCGTAGCCATTCACGCCGAGCTTGTATGGTAACGTAAGCTTGCGGATGTCATCGATTGGCACGTCTGTGCCGGCCACACCGAATAACGCGTCCTTCACCACGCGTGTATTGTTGTCGCGTTGTTTATTCCTATGATCGAACACGGGCGTACCCACGGAAGTCAGCAGTCTGTATTCCTGCCAGGCAGTCGTATTCAGGGTGAACGGATCCTCTTCAATATTCTCGTCCTTGTCAAGCTATGCAGAGCGATCACAGACGATGGAGAACCGATGACATAATTCATATTACTTTTACAATTTTCATTAACAGGAGCGGATACATCGCTAGGGTAAGACTAAAGCGAAGGGCCACGCTAATCTAATATGCCCTCGGTCATTCTATGATATGGGCTAAACACGTAGAGGGTGTTCTCGGAATCGAAAGGCGCAACCGAAATCTCCCAACAATCTATTGCATTAGACACATTTGTCATGTGTAATATTTTTAAATTGACATAAATGTGCCATTTAGTAAATTTTTTTTTTTTTGAAGAATTGAGTCTTCGATTGTCCATTCGAATCATAGACAACTTATGTAGCACCTCACACTGATCTTTAACGCTAAAAGATAAATAAATAGAAAATCAAGAAACAAATAATTCGACGAAGCCCAGCTAACAGGATACTAAACCTAGCTTCCAGCTCAGGTATTAAGTTCTCGGCTAATGACAATCAATCGCCGAGAACTATTCAACTGTGTCAATTAGTGGTGTCTCGATGCCCAGCGATTAATTGCGAATGTTTGTCCTGTTCTCCAAGTTGACAGCTCAGCGAACTACGTGGCTAAACCTTTGGATTGCTAAGCTTGTGATTAATCTTGAGCAAGGTAATAGAAATGTTTAGTTGAATTATAATTATATAATGAAAATTGTACAATTAAAATTTGTTATAAAAATTCTCAAAAATCAATGTGTCAATTAAATAATAATAATAATTAATATGAAATGTGTTACATCAATTTTCGATTACCACGCTTGATATTACACGAATTACCAAACAGAATTTAAAATTGATAAATTATAGATAAATATAAATATAAAATAATTTTTTTTTTTCAATCCATTCATTTTTGAAATATATTTTTAAATAAAAAAATGTTTTCTAAGCTGATGAACTTTATTAAAATGTTATGTTTTATAAATCTTGTATTTCCGTTTGGTATTCGAGGAACGCATGTAGCAAGGAGAGATACAATGCGATACAGATCTAAACAGAGCCTGGAAAGCCTGGAAAGTAGAGGCTGCGAGGGAAGGAAGGAATGCTTTTTGATTCTATCTCAACCTGCGTTATGTAGATTGCATCCTCGTTTATTCGCACGCCCAGCTGTTTTCCCTTGAAGTATTTTTGCAGACGCGACTTTTGATCCTTATGTTCCATCACCCGCCACAGCCAAGCGGCAAGTGCCGGATTCTGATGGGATTTACGAATGTTTATTTTATTCTCCCACTAAGCCCGCTATCATTTTAATAAAATATTTTCAAAACATTGTAGGGAAACAAAAGAAAAGTTTTGTCCTTGTGGCGACAAAAAATATACAAAGAAGAATAATTATATTTACATAGTAAAGATTAGTTTCCTCAAACAGTAATAAGATTTTCTTACCACGAATCATAATATTGTTCGTATAAATTTCCTGTAATCGCGATTGCGTGATATTTTACAATTAGACAAGACCCATGTCATTTTATCACTAGATTATTATTATCAAAATGATAATCTAATGATAAAAATATTCATTGAGAAAATGAATAATCGTAATTTTTGCTCGATATTTGCACGGAATTGTAAAAAAATAAATTAATAAATAAAATTAAGAATTATAAAAGAATAAATAAATAAATTGAAATTAAAATTTTCTGAAGAATATCCTACCGTGATATCGGCGTAAACATGCGTCCACACAATAGGATGCACCACGCCCTGAATTACCAGGGGACGCGCCACAACCGGGATGTACTTGAGCACTTGCTCGCGTACTTCCTCCCGCGTATGCACGTGCTTGCATGAGCCTCGGTTCAAGCATGCCATCCTTTGTATCTCGCGCACCTTGGTCACTTCCATCCCCAAAAGAAATGGAAAAACTCGCACCGGTATGCGAGTACCGTTTTCTTCCCGATTCCATTTCTCGAATATCTACGACAAAGAAACAGAAAACGATAAATATTTTATTCAAAAGAATCTCAAAGTGTTTTTTATCATATAAATTATTGTAAGATTACTTTGAATATGAAATCATATCCAAAAAACGAATCTTTTTGAATTTTATATAAAGTTTAAATTAATAATAAAAATTAATATAAAACTAATTAATAGAATTAAAAATGAGAGAATTTTTCGATTAGGAAAACAGAATATACATAATCTTTTCGATGATTTTTTGGATTAATTAAATATATTAATTATTATATTGTCATAAATACTATTATATATTAGTGTATTTTTTTTAGAAAAGAAAAAACTGCTCGAATTTTGTTCAGAAAGCAGATAATTTTTCTTACGAGGTAAAAATAAATGGATGGATAATTAATTAATATTAATTTAAGAAATTAAGCATAAAAAAAGTAGACATTAACTATGCAACATTGATAAATATATTATTTAAAAAAGCATTAAATAATAATAAACAAATTATTAAACATTAAATTAGTCAAAGTATGCTCCATTACACAATATAATGTAACTGACAGTATGTGTAAGTTTTTTTAATATAAGAAAGACAAAGAATAAGAGAGAGATTTATTTAAAATTACATTTAACATACTTAACCAAAAATTTTGTTCAATGCTTTCTTAGGATTCAATGTTCAATGCTACTTTTTCAAAATACATAATTGTGAAAAATAAACATCGTTCGTAAGAGTATGTTTAAAATTGAGATATCGTAGAAAGGATAATTTATGCTAATTACGTGCTTTGTGTGTGTGATGTTCATATATCATTCTTGTATTTCATTTTACGCAGTTTTGCGTCATTCAAAAATAACGTAATCGTATTGAAATATCGATCAGTCGAAAAAAAATAGTTTTTCATAACTTAATATTTTTTTAAGCAAAATTATATTAACAATAAAATAAAATAAAATAATCGAATTTATTTTATCTTAACATATTATTACAATTATTATTTTTAAAAATTATCATCACTATAACATTATTTATTTTTAAATAATTTAAAAATTTATTTTTTTTATAGAAAGAAGGTTTCTCTCTAAAAAAAAGAAATAGAGTTAGTTTCATGCTCATCGCCGATGGTTATCTTCAATAGTTTTATCAGCATGTAAAATAGATTGAAGGAAAAGAATGATAAAAGTTCATATAATAGTTTTGTCAAAATAAAACAATCAGTAACCTCCGTTAGATTTCCAGCAATGCCGTCTGTGACGACCATGATGAGCTGATTGCACGGCGTGTCGGCGTCGCAACCACGAGATTCCCGGTAAGTCTTAAGCAGATTGAACGCCTTGGTGAAAGCATCCGTGAGATTTGCAGGGCCCTCCGTCTTGAGAGTGTCCAAGGATTTTTTGAATGTGTCGAGATTCTCTGGAGTGGCCTGAATTAGCATGTCCTTGAAGCACGGCACCAGCTCGGTGGTCTCGTTCGAGTACTTTAGCAACGTGACGAGGTCATTGTTCGATAGCGTATCCAGGATCGAGTTCACAGTTGTCTTCGCTGTCGTAACATTGTCATTTCGATCAAACATGAAGTAATTGAAATATTACAATCCTTCAATCATATAATTATTAATCGCGATAAGATGATTAGAAAATGATAAATATTAATTTGTCACATTGAAGAAATTACATATTTTTTTTTTCTATTTCCTTGTCAGGTTCATTCAAATTTTATTAAAATTTTCATTCATCAATTTTTCCAACTTTTCTTTTCAATCTCGCTTACCGATCGTCTTTCCCATGCCGGTCATGCTGCCGCTAACGTCTATCAGGATCACCACGTCTTTGCTGCATGTGGCTGCTTCAATAAACCAACTGCGCACTCTGCAATCGTAAAGATCAGCGGGCTTCTCGTCAGTGTCATCATCCTCTACACTCGTTCGCCACTGCATGGCGGGATATTGTCTGAGCATGCCGGTGACTGAACCAAAGTACTGCCATGATAATGCGGGATCGGACTCGTAATTCTGACGAAACATATCATCCAACACCTCGGTCCTCATAATATCCTCTTCAACCTCTTCCGTGAGATCGAATACGTTGGTTGGTATATGAACCGACGAATGGCTTGTGTTCACCGGAATATTATAAAAATGCGAATCCGCGGTTAGATCCATGTTTCTGAAATCATTTTGTTCATTTGTTAATTTTAATTTAACATTTAGGAAAAGGTCTCTCTCAAAATTATTCGTAATATTCCATTTGTATCATTCATTCTTCATTTCCGCCGAAAGCTATTACGACGTTAACCTGGACAACACTGTGACTAATTCTCGCCGAAGGGAACCTGAAAAAGAATAATGTACCGAGCAAATCGCGCTCACCTGTACAGAATGCTCGTCTCATTCTTCCTGTCGCATTGCGTGTCATTCACTGAATAATTCTCCCCGTTGACAGGGCTGCACTTGCCGGAAACGTAGGAGAAATTGCCGTCCACAAGAGGCTCGTTCCAATCTTCCGTCGCTGCTTCGGCTGCTATTCGGATGCAGGTGACAGCATCCATCTTCCGGCGCAGCATCCTACCTACATTCTCGCTGATTATGCTGACTAATTCTTCTCCGGACTTGTCCTCGACTCGTGTGTTCATGCTCCTGTATTTCTACGAGTATCACCTGCTTAGCAATCTTCCTTTCATGTTTTATTAGATTATTAAAAGAATATAAAGATATTTAAAAAAATTTTAATATAAAGAAAAGAGACGAGAAAGGAACATTATAAAAAAATTTTTGAAAATAATATACACTCGTTTCTATAGGTGATACATTTTCTATGATAAATTCTATATAAAAATGATACAAAATATAAAGATATATGTTATATCGCGTGAGACATGATTGAAAGATTTCTCATTAGAATCTTCATCATATGATATTTATCATATTGAGTAAATATGTAAATACGTGCTCACTTCCAACAATTCCTCGGGTCGAGCAACTTCGTTTGCGAGTTCCCATAAATCGGTACCCAACTTGTCCGCCCATCTGCCCACTCTGGAAAAGAAAAATTACAAGTATTACAAGCACATCGATATGATCTGGTTTTTATATTTTGCAAAATTTCTTTAATAAATTAAAATGATAAATAATAACCAAATTAAAACTAACTTTATGTCATTTAGTACTTTAAGCAAATCTATTCTCATGGAGAAAGCAAGTAAGAAATTGATAAAGAAGCGCATACGTTAGATATAAACACAAAATCTATGACGTTATTAAAAAGATAAATAAGACTGCAAGTAATTTACTCATCATTTCATATGTGAAACACACACACACACACATGTCGTTTATTTATTAGAAGTTAGTTTAACTTCTCTACAAAGCCCAATGACCAAAGCTAAATCTACGCAAGAAAATGATGACGCGACAGGTCCTAGATCCTTCAAGCGCCTTATTTTATAATTTTCTTTTGACACATCGCGCGTTATCTCTTGGACCGTTATGCAGAACTCACATGTGCGCATCTTTGGCCAGACATACAGCGAACATCAGCGCGAAATAAGAGACAAGACATTGACCTGTCGTCGTCGGCATGAACAAAACTAAGCCGCGTCCCTCTTTCCTGTCTTCTTTTCCTTCCTCCGCGATGGATATTCGTTTCCGATCGTATAACGCTTCTTCACTCTTTTTTAGAAAAGACACGGATATCCATGAAAGAAACCTCGCGATCAGATGGCATCTGCCACTGGGACAAACCGGCTACGAGATTCACCTCCGGTCTGATTATTTTTGGTGCTCAAGCTGCGCCGTCTCTCTCGAGACTTTTTCTTCACTTTCTGGCATCGTCCGCGGGTATTAATAAAATCGTGCCGACCGTTCAGAGCGACGCTTCCAAGAGAGAAACTAAAGCGGGGGATTGCTAGAAATTGATTTTGACTGCAGTTGCAAATCTTTGATTCTTGAAGATCAGAAAGCAGCTTCACCAATTTCGTCTTTTCTTTCAGCGCTTGTCTATTCGCTTCAAATTTATCTGTTACGACAAATAATTATAAAACAGTTATCAATTAAGAAATATATATTGAAGTAATTTTTTTAATATTATTTTTGACAATTATTTGCATGCATTTTAAAAATATCATATCTTACGAGAGGAAATCGTAAATGTGCACAGCTGCTTATATTTATATTTTTATATAATATGCAATATTAGATAAGATTATAGTATAAAAGCTAGAGTAAAGAATTATAAAAACATTATACAAGCATGCATTATAATAACATAGCAATAATTCTTAATGAGACTTGGCTTTTCAGCAAAATAAGAAAGTGCAAAAGTTTGAAATTTAATTAATAATTTTCTGTTATATATATTAATTGAATGAATTAAAGAAGTGCGTACAAATAAATGATCTGGAACATACTGTTAAATTTCTTAGTGGATTTCAATATAAGGAAAGTCGCTACTTTCATTGTTTTCACTTTATATAAGCTGCCTCGTATTATAACATGTATCATGTGCAGAATATTACATCCAGGAATCGAGTAATGTAATAATTTCTCAGAAAATAACATCTGTAATTGTGTGCAATCCAGACGTGCCCATGCAGCACGCATGAGATTCTTGTGTCACGATATTTGCGATTTTGCAATCATTATACGAATTGAAACTAAAGGGCTCTCAGAAGCCATCGCCAGACATGACGAGATTGTTTCCAAGGGTATTCCTTATTGAGACGGTATTCCTTTGTCTAGCTCACGTAGGGTATCCCCAGGGATATGATTTAACGATATCTTATAATGCGAATTCCCTGCAAAAGTTAAAGTTTGAACGAGAAATTCGAATGAATCTGTATATATAATCAAACTGTTCAAAGCAGAAAGAAGTCAAGAATAATCTAAACAAAACTAATTAATTGTCGATCAGTTCAATCGAAAATTAAAGGCAGATTAAATAGTAAAACATTAAAGAAAATTTTATTTCAGGATGCTGTCTATGATCTCGGAAAAACGAGAAAAAAGTAAGTTCTGAATTTCCAATTGTCAAGAATTGGCACAAATAATTGGACATCCATCTACGATTTTAATTACTTTTATATAATATTATAATGTAAATATTATAATGTAGGTCAAAATAAGAAACATTTATTGTTTTATACGTGCCCAAACGGTCAAAGTTGATCAAAATCGGAAGCGAATATTTCCAATTCTTTTCCTTGTTAATTTATTATAAAAAATATTTATTTATTATAAAACTTATTTATTTATTAATATATTTATATTTATGTATTAAAATTTGTTTATTATAAAAAATAAACGATTTTTATTTATTTGATATAAAAATAAAACCATCATTTTGGATAATATGCAAGCAATAACTTATTTATGCATTTTTAAACGTATTAATATATAAACTAAAAATTATTCGTTTCATCATAAAATATCATATATAAAAATTTATATCCAACAAACAAAAAATAATTGACTACATTTTTTTATAATCAAAAATTAATAGATACATTGATTTGAAAAAAGTCTCGTTAATCTACTTAATGATGAATTTTACAACTATTTAAAAACAGTAAAAAGTAATGAGTACCTATGCATTTCTATTGTATTGTAGCATAAATTACCTTTACGTTTGAAAAAATCATTATAGCATTATTGCTGTCGTTATATGGTGGCCTGACAACTGCAACGTCATACATTCGTGCATTACAGAGGAATAATGCTTGTCACGTGCAAATATTATAAGAAAGCAACATTCAACGCTAGCCTCACAATAGTTTTTATAAATGTACATTCGTCCTCAAAAGTGGAAAACATTCTACAATTTTTGTACAAATTTATGTTAATTTGCAAATATAATTATTTTATTAAAAATATTTATTTATAAATGTGAAAGTAGATTTGAAATATTTAAAGAAATATCACAAATAAACATTTCACAAATAAAAATTGTTGGAGCAAGTAAAGTTAATTAAATGTTTCTTCGTAATTAGGTACTCTAAATTTTTTAATTGCATATTTAATTGCAAAATGTAATAGAAATATTATACTTTTCTCCTCTTCTTCTATTTTCAATATTGGATTGTTTGCAATTAAAAATTTGAAGAACATCGTGTTTCGTAATTCAATTCAAATTACTTTCGTGGATAATTTTTTAAGTTTAATCGAAGAAAAAGATTTTTACATTATCGTTTTATCGATTTTTTCTCCTAGAGATCTCCTTTCTAAATCGCTAACAAATTCAGCGCGATCGTAAAATGAAAGAAAATAAAAAATACATACATCATTTACGACTGTAGATTGCGAAATGATGACCGAATTGGCGACCACAGTTCCATTTTGCGGAGAGTAGGAAGAAGAGGAGGAAAATGCTCCTTCTTTGTCTAGAAATGACGGATAAATTCGCTCAACCATGCGTGGTCGTGTCGAAAGAAGACCAGAAAGAAAATGAGACTCTTTCGAGCGTGCGACACAAAGTCAAATGATAAATATTAATTATCGTTAAAAGACATTAAGGGGGACACTACCGGTTCTCGGTATATATTCACGGACGTGTCGCGTGCGCGTCGCTTATAAGTAGAGAGTGTCATCGTCGTCGGTTTCATCGCACTCGGCTGTCAAATTCGCGAAAGTGATATCGCGAAATCGATATGGATTTGAATAATAGTAATAAATGCTGGCAAGTGAACGGTCGACGACGGCAGGGTTACTCCGAGTGGAAAAATGTAGAGAATCACGAAGAGCTGGATTCATGGTTTATCAAAGATCCATTCGATATCATGGTGACTTATTATGGTATTTATAACTTAATATAATTCAATAATTCGAGAATCTTTATAACCGAAGAATCTATCTGAATATGTTATACTATTAATTCATATTCAAACTATCCATTAAAAAAAATTAGATAGAAAATAAAAATTTACAGAGTATATCAAATTTACTAGAGATTATATTATATACAATAAAAATACAATTAAAATAAAATAAAAATCAATTCTATATGTATTATTTCCTTTGTTATAAATACATATATTTTAATTTGTATTAATTTATTTCAATTTCATTTTTATTACAAGCTCACGTGAATGTAATACAATTATATAATAATAATAAATATTTTATATTTAACATATGAAGGTCAACTGACTTTTGATAATAATACAACGGTCTACTTCCTACTATCATTATTCATTTTCAAAAGAATTCAACTACTGTTTTACATTTTCCTATATTTATATTTATATTTATATTATACATATTAATATATATATATTAATATATACATATATATTAATATATACATATATATTAATATATACATATATATTAATATATATTAATATATATAAATATATATAAATGTATGTAAATATATGTGTATAATTATAAATAAATATATGTAAATATATATATGTGTGTGTGTATGTGTGTGTATTTATTTATTTATTTATTTATTGAATGTTTTTGTTATCGATTTTGAAGACAATACCGTATAATTATTTATCAAATAATATATAGTTTTTATGTACAGTAATTACGATAATTCTCACAATGGAGAACTGTTTTGGAATCAGCGAAAAAAATGAAAATAATCCGAGATATTGATACGGACCACGTATTGCCACGGAAGAAAATAATTTTCAATAATTTATTTAACGAAGGGTTATTATACAAAAACTCTGTCATAAATAAAAATTGATATAATTGGAAAAGCGATCCCGGACATTTTCTTTCATAATTGGCATAAGAAAAACGCGCTTTTAAGATGGACGACTTATTTCAAAAGAACACATACATCCTGTATAAAAATTATATACAATTTTAAGAGAACTCTTGTGCATATGTTTTATACATATTCAATAACAAGATGTATTATAAACACGATAATTATTGAGATAATTCGAAAACTTATTTAAGTGATTGAAATAATTATTTTATTATAATCTGAATATTATAACTGTCCAGATATATATATATATATATATATATATATTTTATTTATTTATACATTTATAGTTTTATTCTTGCGAGAATTATCGTGTCTATAATATAATAGTAATTATAAACGTATCTTCAATTCATTAATCATTAAAATTATTCATTTAATCATCAATGTGAGAAATAAATATAATCGAGTCTATTTAATGTTAAATTTATATATTAAAAAAGTGAAGTTTGTATAAACTCCTATTAAGTGCACTTGAAGTCGTGACAGCTAAGTCAAGCGATAGATACTTTATTTTGCGAAAATAAGCGAGCGCGTTTCTTTCGAGATAAACATCTGACATGTGTGTAACTCGTGGCAAAGTTTTATCCTTAGATGAATGAACAAACTTCGATGTACTAAATAATAATATGAGCTACAATAACACGAGTTTCGATTGTTCGATTTAGGCAACCAAAAAATCAATACCGAGTTGTTTGTCACAAATTTGGATGTTTGCTCGATGACGTAGAATTCGAAAAACTGGCAGATATATTAATATCTATTTTGAATGGAATGTTTTGAAAAATATTCGAGAATTCAGAACAACATTCAATTTTAAATAATATTTGCTTTCTCGAAAGTAATATATAAATTATATATTTATTACTATAATATATAAATTTTATTTAAGAGAAAAAACTGTTAATACAAGCAAAAGATATTGTAATAAAATATGCCTTCTTCTCATGATTATAAAAAAATTAATTTATAAATATTCTTAAAGATTAAATTTAATTATGCAAAAACAAGAAATAAAAATTGATTATTGAGAAAATAATTTAATTCAAAATCACTTGTACAGTTAGAAAACCAGAGACATATGATTAGATGTAAGAATATATGCATTCTTAACACAAGGAAATTTGAATAGTATATGAATACTTATCGAAATAGCATATGCACAAATTTACATAAATATTGTACATAAATATTGGAAAAACACTGTATCCTTGTAAATGGAAATAACGTATAACTAAATGCATTTTAGAAAAAATAAATAGCTCTTAATAATCTATAATAGACTAGAATTCAACCCTATTCCATGACATACTTGTATGTAAAAGAAAAAGAATAAAATTTTTAAATCTTTTCTATACTAAATGAATAATGAAATAAATGAATAATTCCACTTGGAATAAAGTGAAAGGATCGTTAAAATTGAATTGCTGCTTTGGAAATTATTTTATCCACGCCCTACAACTGCGTTGGCTCTTTATTGCTTTTCATTATTCATTTAGTTTTGTTAATTTAGAGGAGCCTTTAACTTTGTTTAATTTCTTTTCTATACATTACATTTGTACTCATGTGTGAAGTATCGAACTATAAATATTTTTGTTAATTATAGATAAAACAATATTACTGTTATAAATATTTTCCTAAGACATTAAAATAATATCCCAGGTAGCACATATTCATTTCAAAAACGTTTCACAAATGTCTTTTTAAAACGTTTCATAATCGACTATTGAAAATGTTTTTAATTGGTTAAAATTTCCACTTGAAAAACGTTAAGAAATACGTTCCCTTTCTGATAAAAAAAAACGTTTAAAAACCGTTAAAATACGTTTTTTTCCATTTATTCATTAAACGTTTGTGCTTTCTCAAGGAATTAATAAAACAATACATTTATGTACACTCTCTAAAAATGATTCAGTACATTATCAGTGAAAATAGTGAATAGAGTCACTGATACTGGCAATTATTCATAATTAATATCCATTTATTTGTAAATAGAAATCAATAGTTTTCGTAATAATTATATATATATATAAAATTATTGTATATATGTATAAATGTATATATAATTTGAAATTAATTTGAAATTACTAAAAAATTAATTTTTATTTTATAAAACGTATATAAAACGTATATAAACATAACGAATATAAAACATGTGCTACCTGGGTATTACTTATCAGAATTGACCAATCTATAATTTTCATAACTAATTAACTCTTCTGTCAAATTATGTCTCAAAGCAATAGTCGTCAAAATTTCATCAAAATTTCAATCACGAATCGCGATCCTCCAATCAGCTTTCGCTTCGAATCGTCTGACACGTGTTTATATCGGACAGAGTGGGGATTCCTCGGGAACATAGGCTGATGTCGATCTGGGAAGGGAAACTCCCCGCGCCGGTGTCTATCCCAGGATTGATATTGATCGCGAGCACGCGGTGCCGGTTGCCGGGTAGTTGGAAGCTAAACGTACATCAAGCAGGAGAGGTCGGCTCGAGTGTTGAGAGAAAAAAAAAAAAGAAATGCCTCCCGAGTGCGAGGAAATTGAGATCCGCGGCATGTTGGAAAGGAATGAGTGTGCAATCAACCAAGTCGTCGTGAACAAGTCACCAAAGTTACTCGCGCTATGCGGTGCGTGTTTATCCGCGTTTCTATTCTTTTACATGGTCTTTATTCCTCAATTTTTCTATTAAATTAAAGATCCATCGCGAACTGATTTTTCGAAAGATCCCCAAAACAGTGAAAATGATATCGAGGTAGTTTAATGACGTGCGTCATCCGACAATCCTCCCAATGCAAGGGTGGCCCGAAAATCGACTGCATCGAAACTGCAATTCGGAATAAAATCGCGAGATACAATTTTTGGTAGTGCATTATGTATTTATAGTAAACAGCTCGATGTAATGATACTAATTTTATAAACCGCGAACATATAATGCATCATAATCATGATTTGGCACATATTGTGTCTCTAGTTAAAGAGGAAAAGTGGAAAAGTCACTGCATGAAATGTACATGCAGGATATATTAACAATGTGCACAGAAATGTGCATACAATATGGCAATAGATCAAATATTCGGTGTATCAATTGATAGATAGAATATAAATTCTATGCCATTTGAAACATAGAGAAAATATTTTACAGTACAAATTACACGAAAAATACATTCCCTTTTACAACATTTATTGTAAAGCTTAAATATAACTTATTTCTAAATATAATTTATTTCTATAAATTGTAATTTCTAAAAATTGAAATTGTTCTATTGTTTATTAAGGATTATACGTTTTTTCATACGTCAAATATTATATATTTGAATAATTACAATACTTCTTTTTAAAAAAATATAAAACGTATATAACAGCGAATAAAAATATCGCGATTTCTTTTAAATATTCCACGATTACAAAAATTGTATTGTAATTTTTACAATATTTTCAATTTGACAATATTTTCTCCATGTATCGTTGCCTTATTTTGAAAATTGTCAAGTTTTTTTCTAAAACTATCACTAAAACTTTGGTTAATATTTTGAAAATACATTAATTAATATTTAGAAAATACATTAATATTTAATTATTAATTGAAAAGCAATTTATGTGCAAATAGAAGTAGTGTTGACTCAACTTGTGCGGAGATTGAAATATTTGAAGCCGCAAATATTATTGTTTTCCGCGCCATTAATTGCGTGCAACAATAAACTAACAAAAATATTATCTGAATAAAAATTTATTAGCTACCTAAAAATATGATTTTTCGATATAAAATGACAAAAAGATACGTATATAATTATGTAGAGCATATCAAGAAATGTATTTGTGTATCTTGAGATATCTATATCACGCTTTCGTGCCCAACTGTCACAAAGTGCGTAATGACATAACACATACGCACTTATAATTAATAAAATTTATAACGGGAAAAATTCACAATTAAGTACCTTAAATTGCTATTTCGGCAAAATTGACAATCGTAAATTTTTAAATAATTGCATTATTTTTTATTAACCAACTTCTTCTAATGAGTTTCTCATCTAAAATGTATTTCAACGATAAAATTAAAAGAAAAAAAATTTCATTGCGTAGATGATGATTGTTTCTCGGATAGTTTACAGATATTATTCTTGAATTATTTTTTTTCTGATTGACGCTAATATAAGCATGTCAAGTGTCTTTTAATAGAAATCATATAAAAAGAAATCGCGAATTATGTAACACTTAAGAAGTAAAGTAGCATGCAATAACGTATGCAAATATGAACAGATGAATATTTTTTATCAAAGCCGCGTCATTATATATATTTAAATTGACATTACTAATTAATGTTATTTTTATCTGCAATTACAAATTTTAGAAATCTTCCAATAATGAAAACAAATTAATATTATAACATCGAAGAAACCTGTACGCATTATTTTTCCAATATCAATCTATGCATTCAGGTGCCAATGAGTTTACACAAATGAATTCTGACTAGAAATGCGGAAACTGATATTACCTGTGTATTATCTCTTTTTCTCTCTCTTTTTCTCTCTCGGGTGCCTTCTGGGAAGGTTATTAAAAGATCTTTATCTTTTTTATTCCATCTCTGTTTCTCTCCTGATCGACGCCTACGTCGATGTCTATGACGTCACTCTCGCCTCCTACGAAAAAGTCGAACGATTATGGTTTATCTTGACGTCAATTTCTGACGTGTTACGCCAATTCTCACGTATAATTCTCTAAAAACTTAATCCTAGAGTTTAGTCCATCATCGATAACAACCGCGAATACATATGATGTTCCTTGGAAAGGCAAAATTTGCGATTTAAAATTTTAAGATCTCGGAAACATCAAATTGGAAATTGTCAAATATAGCTCGAGTGTCTTGTTTCTGAATTTTTGTTAGAGAAAATTTCTACGTAATCAAAGAAGAAAAAATAAATAAGTAAATAGAACATCTGTGAATTTTATTGATGTAAACTTTACACGATCTTTCGAAAATACGAAAGAGTTCGGGGACTCAAACGACGGGAATATGCACATTGATAAGGTAAATTCGAAATATATCGATAATGAACGGCACAGGTGTCTTATATTAATTGGAAACGAGAATATAGAGCTAAATTAATCCTGTTTATTGAGGAATCTAGGCCAATCTTTCCCCCTCTACTTACACCTTTGTTCTCGATCTTGTTTTTTCCTGTCTCAAAACTCTGTAAAAATATATATATATATGTGTTAGGAAGAACTAGCCAGAAATTTACGCTTTGTGCGTGACATTATAAACTTGTGATTTCCAAAAGTATAAATTGACGTAATAATTGACTTTGCGATATAGATTTCTTGTTTGATTTCCTATTAAATATTTGTAGATTCCTATTTTCCTCTGAGAAATCAATTGTTACATATTTCGAATTCACGCGACAATTGAGTAATAATAGACTATACTACTTAACAGATGAACTTAATCAATTACTCAGGTTACAATGCGCGACAATCTTCTATCTCCCGTACGGATCGATCGTTAGACTTTCAATAAGAACCATTAGGCAAGCCATAAGTGGGCGAAGAATTTTATAACAAGAGATTATAAAACTATAAAGTGCAATTAAAAAGCCATTTGAAAAATTTTCAAACGCAGCTCGGAACGAGAAGAATTTTACCTAACGATCTCATCCCGATTCACGTCCATTTTCTTTTCTCTTTCTTTTTACGGTAGATAAAAATAATTCCGCAATCTCGCCATCTTCAGGGCTACCTGCTTGTTCCAGCGCTCGGTACCGGTAGCACATAATAGACCAAGATTGTAATAAATTAACGACGAATTAATATTGGCTGATTGACCGCACTGACGCGACCTCTCGCGCTGCAAGCGCCGGCCAATCCCCCTCTCTCTCTCTCTATCTCTCTCTCTCTTTCTGGCCTCTCTCTCTCTCGCTCTCTGTCTCTCTCTCCCTCCGGCCGGAGTCGTGTGAACCTCAGCATCGCGCGCGGACCAACGGGGGTTAATTAGTTCAAAGTGGCTCACCATCTGCGACGCGACGACGATGGTCTGGAGGCCGATCCGCTGGACGACCCGAACACCCGAATACGTGACCGCGCATCGTTCCTCGATAAGATCGTCTCGATGCTTCCGCGACTTCTGAAACCACTCCTACTCGCGTGATCGTAAAATACCATGAATTATCGCGCACGGTTGTTTTTCTTTTCTTTTTTTTTATTATTAATGAGAAAATCCTCGTCTCTCGTTGCAGTGCGTGGATGAAACTCGATCTGCGAATAATTTTTTAAATTCTGTAAACAAGATTTTGACAGACGTAGGTTGAGAGAGAAATTACGCGAAACTTTTCTGTGAAACGAATGCTCATTGTTTAAAATTACGTTTAATATTTTTATCGCGAAAAATTGATCGATTCGAGAAGCTAGATAATTAGAAATTAGATGTTAAATGTAATCTGAGTCTTACCTTCGTGAAACGATTCATGGATATTGCATATAAATTATATAATATTAAGATGGTACATCGTTCTTCGAGAATATCGGGATTTGAGATATTTAAATTTTGGCGCCTACATCTGGGCGCGCTCGCGCATTCCGCTTGTCAGATGCGGCAAATCGGATTGCGTAACATATGCTACAGCTGATGAGAGTAGAGTTAGGTTAGGTCAGGATACGGTTAGATACCTTTTCGGATACATATTCGTCGTCTTCCCGCAATTGTCACTCTCAAGAATGGTGCTGTCATTCACAGGATTACCGTCCTTGAAACGTTTACTGTTGCTCCTTTTGCAATGCTCGTTATGTAAGTCATGTGAGGAATATGCGGCTGAAATATTCTTCAGATTATCGAGATATCATTTTGCAAACGAATGGAATTCGATTACAAATATGTTTCAACGCATAATAATTATTTATAACAATATTTATAAATATTACTAAATATGCATGTGTTTCTTTTGATCGAGAAACATGCGCGCATCTCAGAGAGATAAATTAATTATGGATTAAAGTTGGACCTTTCACAATAATTTAATGGCTTAATTTTGGATGAAAGGTGGACCTTTCACAATAATTTAATTCAAGTAATAAAATCAGCATCTCATAATCCTTATTATATATAACTGAATTATACTTATTATATATAACTGAATCGCTCAATTGAAAAGATTTGAGAACCATGAAAACTTTCTAAATAAAATTTTAAAAAATAATTAAATTTGTGTTCATAAGATTTGACAAATTAAATATATACATATAATAAGTAAATAAATAAATAATTATATTTAAATCTCTGGTGAAATTTTTTATGGAGTTCCATTCGAATGCGTCCAGCTTACGGTAACCGGAAATAAGTTGCGTTATACACGTCGTTCATCTGAAAATCGATCATGAATCTTTTCTTCTATCGTGAACTCGTGAAAAATGAAAAATTTTATTGACAAATATTGAATTTGTCAATAAAACTTTTCATTATTCACGAGTTCATGCTGGAAGAAGAGATTCACGATAGACTTCCTGAAAGGAAACGAAGCCATGCACGGGTGGCTTTTGGCATATAATTAAATTTATCAAGACATGAATCACTGAATTTATGCTCTGTTCTTCATAGCTTATTACCGCAAACTCTCTTTATTCGTTTTTCAAACTTAAAATTAGTCTTACTTATCTCGTGTCGTAGACGCGGTTCTGTTCTTTTCGCTTCCGCTCTCGATCTCTTTCTAACGCGTGTGTCCCCTTTCACTTGATTACAGTCAGTTATTTAAAAGAAAGTACGCACTCTTATATCCTTTCTGAATAATAAATGTGATCTTTTCGTTTCTTTTTCCTAATTGTGACGAATTTTAAGGCACATAATCTATGAATTTTTGCGGAAATTGCGAGAATAAAATATAATAGACATTAAGTAATGTGCATTTTTTCTCCCAGGTCGACGTGCAATGGTGAGCAAGTTTTGGTGCCACGAGATCGGGCGCAGGTGGCGTCAGGGTAAACAGGAGCCACCGCAAGCACGCGTGTTGACGGAACCCAAGTGTCAGTCACACGTGGCCACCTGGTACCTATTCTACCGCTGGATCATCTTCCTCGTATGGGCCGGCTTCATAATTTGTTCGGTGTTCGAATTTGGCAGCTATAAGCCGCTATTCCAGTACGAAAAGTGGCCGATCTACCTGACCAACTGGGATATTTTATTGGGCTTCACCCAGGCGCTGATCGGCGGTATACTCGTGTCGAAGCGATGGCGATTGCAGAAGATACCCGGTTTCGATCCTTGCGGCCTCAAGTTGAAGTCCACCGAGCGATTGTATTGGTTCCTGTATGTTGTTACGACTAATCTGGCAATCGGTGTGACGTTCTGCTACTGGTTCACTGTATACAATCCGGAAATTCATCAGCTGGATCCGCTCAACATCATGATGCATGTGTGCAATAGCGTGTTGATGTTGGTCGACTTTGTAGTCACCAGTATACCGTTCCGTCTGCGAAATTTCTGGTGGTGTCTGTCGATCGCCATATTCTACTGTGTATTCACAGCGATCTACTACATCGCCGGTGGACTCGATAAAAACGGCTACCATTACATTTACAGAGTCATCGATTGGAAACGACCGCCGCGGACGTTACTCGTTTGTGTCGGCGGTTGCACGTTCATCACAGTGTTGCACTGCGTCGGTTGTATGCTTGCGGATATCAGAGATCGCATCTACCGCAAGATTGCCGAGAAACTCGGCAAATCCGCACAGACTAATAACGCTAAACCGCTTCCGGAAAAACAGCCAGAAGTAGTTTAATTAATACAAGTTTATATACGATATCTTTGTCCATCCGGTATCTTCTAATCCTGGATGCAGGATATTAGTAGGGCAGATTAATATTCGACAAGGAAAAAGTTCACTTCTGATGCCTTCTTGATGTAGCTACGCTTTCAAGTAACTAGAATTCCCTCGCGAATGATTCTTAAGCTCATCTATCTTGCTAGAAAAACAAGAAAATATTAATAGGATATTAACAGGGTATTTGAATGATACGATCGGATTAGGTAATTCCTTGCGCGACTCTGTGAACTTTATTTTTAATGATATTTCTAAGGAGAACGATAATTATTGTGTGATATCAAATAAGATTCCATAATAATATCATAGAAGCCAGATTAGTGAACGCTCGGTTATATTATAATAACCGTTCAGATTTTCCGCGTGATTAAATTTGCTATTTATATAAAAAGATAAAGATCCATGTAAAATATAGAAAATATATGTATTTCCTTTCGCTAAATGTGAACATTTCACTAAGGAAGGCAAGAATATTAATTATGCAAGCATTTTTTGTACATTTAAATTATATGTAAACATTGTATGATATTTTCGCTATGCATGACATTTGTCTCGCATTTTTTAATTATTATTTTTAATTATTTTTTTAATTGAAAATATTGTATGAACGCATATTTATAAATTGATGAAAATCACCTCGCAACTAGTGTCAATGGCGTCGTTAATTGAATTAATCAAATAAACATTGTATACAATTCAAATTTAAACGCGAACGCGTATTAGCATTAATTACACGAGTTGCAGATCTTTTTTATATTTACAATAATTTCGAAATAATATAGATAATGTAAATAAAATTAATCTTAGAAAATTAATTTAGAAATTTTAATAGAATAAATTCTCGTATAAATCTAAAGACAATTATAAATGAAATAAATGAAGAATGCATATACATTCCAGAATGACATTAGTATATTATATAATATTGATTTAAAACTGTGAAGAGATTTGTGTCTTTAGAAACCAATGTTTGTTTATGTGTTTTAATCACATATCACATATACGAGTGTGATTAAAATTTATAATTTATCATTATAAATCAATAAAATTAAATTGATTACACTGATTATACATTGGCTAAATGCTTTTTTCGACGCAATTTTCGATACGGTATGGATCAATTTCACGAGTAGAATATGAAAAGATAAAAAATTATTCTTTAATGTGTATGTAGATCTATTTTTGTACATTTTATATGTCTCTTTTTTTCCATTGTTACTATTACAGTTCGCTGTAAATTTTTAGTTATTATGATCCTACGATAATTTAATATATATAAGTCTGTTTCAGAAAAGATATTAATCTGCATGTTTCAGATAAATCTCACACGATATGATCGTTAAATTGTATACCAAATAATGAGTGCTCTTATGAACATATGTGTATGCACGTGTAAAAAGACACAGATTAAAAATGAAATGAAAACCAAAAAACAGTAAAGTATTTGTAAACAATATATATGACTTCGAAACACGCGTCGGATAGCAATAACAATAAAATACGCAGGTGATGACTTTTATGGAAAAATATCAACGATTTATTAATAAAATAACGATTTAAAGCGATTATGAGCCGCATAGTACAAATGGATATCAGGCTGAGGCCAGCTCCTAGATCACAGATCGTATTAGAGTCACCATTTTTAAAAAAGCTATGTTTAATATAATGATCACACATCACATAGTTTAGAACGATCGTGTCAATTTTAAGCTACATTTAAAATAACAAGAATCATCATGTCATCCAAAACATACTATAGTCATTCGACCATTCGCTTATCATAAAAATTATTCGATTATTCAAGTCTCACTCACATTTATCACGAAAGTCATTCGAGACCGCGCAAATTAACGGTACTCTCAAGCGGACTTGAGTCCAATAATAACACCTGATACTCCGTACCTGCCACATCGTCCTGATAGTACATCGATGGTAGTTCCTCTGTGAGCAACAGACTCTCGCTCAGATCGCTACTCGTGCCCAGCGCAATGTCCGGTGTATTTGTCACTATCGAATCCGTCAGTGTGCCGTTTTTCTTTAGCCTGGACCAATCCGAATATGTTAGATCTGTCCTCGCAGAGCTCTGATCCGTCTTAATCGATAGCATTTCCTTATCGATTTGCTCGGTACACACATCAGTATGTAACGATTCCGAATTCTTAGTAAGTAAATTGAAAGGAGGCGGTTCCGGTTCCGGTAGACGATCCACGCTTGATGACGAGGTACCGAGGATAACAGCATCGCACGGCGTCACCATAACCGTCTGTTCTTCCTCGATGGCGATGGGCGAAGTCGAGGGCGACTCGTCTACCGTGTACAGAATGTAGTTTGTGTCGGCAACGTCCGAAGGTTTATCCAGCAAATCGTCACAATGTATATTGTGTACCTTCAGTAGGTGCTCGCGTAAGCTCGCCTCGTTTCCAATTAGATAATCGCAATTCTCTATCGGACAATGATACAACCATTCTAGTTGATTCTGAGAATTTTGGGAACGCGCACTGGTGTCACATATCATATCCGGCTTCTCAAGGTCATCTTCCTTCGTGATAGTTTCTATGACACTCGTTAATTCCGTGGATTTTCGCTTCTGTTTCGCGATCGGCTTCACTCGTGAGCAATTAGATTCTTTCGTCTTCACACGTTTCTGATCACCAGAAATGTAATCAAACTCTGTCGGCATATTATCGGTTATGCTTATATCCGTCTTGGTCTGCTGATGCTTTTTAATGTGCACATACAGGCTGCTCTTGGCAGAGAACCGGGCATCGCATACAAAACATTGGAAGAAGCGACCTTCCTTATGTGTCAACCGATGCTCTTTTAAATGTTCCGATCGCATGAAAGCTTTGCCGCAGTCCGGTGCGTCACACATGAATTTGCGTTCATTGGTATGTTTCTTTTGGTGACGCTTGAGCTTACTGGACGATGAAAATGCCCATTTACAATCCTGAAACGTACAATGATAAGGTTTACAGCCGGTATGAGAGCGCGTGTGAGCCTTGAGTCGACATGGTTTGTCGAAAACTTTGCCGCAGCCCGGCCACGAACACTTGATATCCACTTCTTTATAGCTGTGAGATCGTTGATGCGATGTCAATGCATTACTGCTGTAGTAACGTTTACCGCAACCTTCATGTTGGCAAACATAAGGCGCGTGACGTTGATCGTGCGATTTCATATGCAGTTCCAGTGCCCGCTTCGTTTGAAATTTCTCGCCACAATTCGGTACCTGGCAAACAATCCGATTTGGACGACTATGCAGTTTCTCGTGACTCCAGAGATTATAAACAGTAGTGAAGCGACGGTTGCAACCCTCCACTTGGCACACGTGATCCTTGCGCTTCAGATGAGTCTCCTTGTGTCTCTTTAACTTGAACTCGGAATAAAAAGCCCAAGTGCAGTCTTGGAAGTCGCACTATAAAAATAACGTGATCAATAAAGATAATTATAAAGAAAAAAATGTTGAACAATATTAAAAAATTTTTATGAAAATATTTAATTTAATTCGGTTTTATTCAAATAATCTTCAAAATTGTATCATTTATAGCAGAAGAAAGGGATTAAAGGATAAAGCTAAATATATGATACTTTTCAACGTACCTTAAATGGCCTAACTCCATAATGGGCTAGCAAGTGACCTTTCAAAGTATAAAGTCTGCCAAATTGCCTGTTGCAACCGGCTCGTGGGCAGAGCCATACTTTGTCGTGTTCGGTAACATTTACAGGTTGTAGACTGTCGTCGGTGATGCCTAGTTCCTCCAACGCATTGGATATGACAATTTCATACGAGCTACTCGGATTATTATCAATATTGTACTCAACGTTACCGTTCCAGATCGCAGCAGAAGTATCTATCTTGGGCAATTTCGGAAAATTGCCCGTTGCCTCGATCAATTCTGAAGTCTTGCCCTGATAGATCTGTTTCTCTGTGCCAGTGTTGATGACGATTTGTGTCGTGTTGGATATTTTATCGGTAGATATGGCAACTACAGCCATTACGCCGTCCTGTGAATCTACATCGGTAAAATTCTTTCCATTGATGTGCTTGTCAAACTTCTTTTCCAATCGCTCCGTCATCTGTCGACGCTTTTTAATGATACGAGGTTCAAGTTTTATCTTAGTTTTCGACTTTAATTGTTCTATTATGCTATTTTGAGTATCTGCTTCTATGGAATTTGGAGATGAGTTCTCCTCCATCGGTAATGACTCGATGAAGAGTTCTGAAGAACTTCTCGAACACTGTATCATGGTTTCCTGCTCTGACTTTATATCCTCCATCTTACTTATGGTTCCTAAATTCGCCGGTATTTCATTGAGAGAAACCTGCATAGATTTTTCACAGGGTACCTGACTATTCTGCTCTAAAACTTTTATTTTTGGAGTCATTTGTTCAACATCTTGGTTCTCTATTTGATTTAGTATCGGTTGATTGCTCGTTGATGGCAGGATCTCACCAGCCACCATCATGTCATCCGATGAGAGAGCTGCCAGTGGATCCAGATGATCCAATTGAAATTCTGGCAGCATGAACTCGTCGACGACCTTCTCGCATGGAGGTTCTAGCAGTCGATTTTCACTCTGTGTCAGATCCTGCAGTATCGGATCGTAGCCTGATGATAGATTGAGCTTCTTGGTGTCGGCCAAATCAATATCGATGGACAATCCATACGGATCCTTGCTTAGAAAGTAACCATGCGACAGCACTTCCTCGCCCAGATACCGATCCACGCCCTCCACCACCTTGGCCGCGTCCAGGTCCATGCTTGACGATACCGGTGGCTCCGTGTTGCGCATTTTCAGCCATTTCTCAAAATCGGCTACCGTCTCGACGACGTCGGCGCTCTTGCTGACCGTCGTCTGGTGCCAAGCCTCGTTCTTCCTAACTGTCCTATCCCTCTTACCGTTCCCCTCCGCTTTCGAAGGGGCAAGGAACCTGTCGGAGGGCACGCATTCCGTTCCCTCGGAGCCAATCTTCTCTCGACTGCGTCGTCTCGACGTGCAAGCGATGACAGCGGCTCCTCTGCAAGACATCGGTGGTCCACTCGGTGGCCAGCACTGCGGAGGAAGCCCAGGAGCGACAACGACATTCGACAGAGCATTATTTTTTTTTCTCACGGTGAGGAGTAGCTTCGCTCCGGGAGCCCGAGCGTTGCACGTGCAATTGTCGTTGCTCTTGCAAGAGCGCGCTCCATTTTTCTTACCGATCACGTGCTCGATCCTCGTCTCTACGACAGGACTCCAGTCAGTCTTCAGTTACATGTACAATCTATCTGCTCACCTCACACCGAGCAATCGCCAACCAGCGAGGATCGCGCGATGCGAGCTGACAGAATCAACATAACCTCTTACCGGATACGGCTCTCGACGAGATGTAGGCAGGAAGGACGGGGGGAGGGCAGGCGGGTTAGGGAGCGGTATGTCGGATCGATGCAGCGGTTATGTTCCGGTCGCCGGACTGGTCCAGTGATCGTGAGAGGGAGGGATCGCTTCTTCGCCGCTTGCTCGTGATCGCGAGGAGGACGAAGACGCGCGCTCTTCGTGCGCGACTCGCGAGTCCCTTTTCTTCAGGAAAAATGACGAAATGTATAAAATGTCAACTTTTTTATCCCGCCGAATGAACTGACGCAACGGCCCGCTCGCAGCTGCCGCTCAGCCACCTGGCGGCGAGTATGCTTACTTCTTGACACGAGGTTACCGACACTTCAATTGGACGATGATAATGTAGATTCTTCTGCAGCTGTATTTTTCGCGCGTACTTATTTTTAATTTTCAGTTCTTCCTTTTCCTTTCGATGTCTGAATATACGCTTATACTTATTTTATTCTAAGCGTGCAAAAAAATATTTAAATAACAATATACAAAGTCATCTTGTTTGCTTATTACAATCTCTGGTTTTAAAAAAGATTAAGAAATAATTTAAATATGCCGTGAAAAAGAAAAAATTCATCTAATTAATTATTGAGTAATTAATTATATTATTTGTTTTATTTTTATTTATTGGATTTTTCAGAATCCGGGTTTATTCGTGACGCGCGTTTAAACTTTTTCTCATTCACCAAAGTTTCTAATTGTTCAATTCTCGAGAGTTTTTGCGGTTTTTCTTGTTTCATTTCTGATAATTTTGTCATCGAATCGTAAGCTTCATCCGCGCTTATCTGTGTCGATATTTGAGGTATCGATTTCTCATTATCTTCCAATTTGACGTCTCTTCGAAGTTCGACGATTCTTCGTAAATTCGAAGGCGCACTTATTTTTATTTTAATTTTCAGTTCTTTCTTTTCTTTTCGATGCCTGAATATACTTATCTTCTTCTAACCGTACAAAAAAAATATTTAAATAATATACAAAGTAACTCGTCTTGTTTGCTTATTCAGGCCTAGAATAATTGATAAATTAGCTCAAAAACAGAAATATATTAATTGCAATATCTCACCTGTGAATCATAATTATATCATTCATAAAAGGGCCATTAATCCGCACAATGCATTTATATTCATCGAATAAATATTTAATCGGCGTAATATTGCGATTCCAAAATAATCCTACAAAATAATCCATGGTTTTAGAATAAAAAATACATTGTAAATTTGATGTTAATTTGATGTCAAATTAGAATTAAATTAGAATTTATTTTTTATTTTAATTATTATAAGTAATTAATTTTAAGACACCTTTTTTTATATTAGTTCATTAACTAAGAAAAATTAAAATAACTAAAAAATAATAAAAGTTCAATAAAAAAATTTGTATATAATATTAAAAATTTATATTATAATCTTAACATTTTTATTTAAATTATTGACATAAATTATAATAAAAACACTTAATTTTTTGTTCTTTTTTTCTATCAACAGTAAATAATTTGTCTAAATATGTATCTATATATGTATCTATATATGTGTGTGTTTCTATAAATTCGAAAAACTTTGCACTTAATTAGACGTAGTTTTTCGAGTCTAAATCAGCGAATTTGCTTAAAATTCCTAGAGCCAAAATTTATTTATTTATATTCTACGCATCTTACAAAATTGCGTAACTTTTATTTAAGTTGTGGTTAATTTGAAAATACAAAATAGCTCTTCGAATTTTAAGCAATTAAATTCTTCAAGGGATCATACCCTGGGTAAATCTGCTGATTAGTAGACTGCAAAACAGTTGCGTACTCAGAAGTGGCACGTATTTCCAGTATTTTTCCCATAACTTGAGTATCATTCCCATAACTTTTTTGTTTGCGCGTGGCCAGCTGATTATTTTTAAATTTAAATGAAAAGCACTGTTATAACATTATAATTAAAATATAATTTTATTTCAGAGCAATAATGTTGGTTATGCTGCATACGAATCGTTATGGTATAAGAAAGAAGTATCTTTACAGAAAGACTAATATATGTTAAATCGTGATATCAGCAGCCTGTATCCGTAACTGTAACGTGCATGCTACCGACTATTTCACTTAATTATTATGCTTCTGTAAGTTATATCGCATCCTATAATATTTATGGATAATTTATTGTGACATAATCCTGGCATAACTTTGGCGATAATTTAACAAATATTTCTAGCCATTTCTGTTTGCAACAAAACGCAATGCAAAAATTTCTAGTAAATACTAGTTTCTCTACGAATTATAAATATTATTATTTATATATTTAAAAACAAATAAATTTCTGTTTATTATAGAAATATTTGTTACTTAAATTATAAAATTAAAATTATTTATATATTGGGGGAAAAAATTAATTAGTTAATCTATGTATTTTCTATCTCTCTGCCGGAGGGAGAGGGATCCTTTATTTTTTATTTTATTGGTTTGAAATTTTATTTTTATTTAATTTTAAAAAAGTTATTTTTATTTAATTTTAAAAAATTAGTGAGATTTTTGCGATTTAAAATGACATTAAACACGACGTAAATAATAATTTATAATTTAGTCTAATAATAAAAATTTTTGATTACATATTTAACAATAAAATACATCCGATTTATGTCCTGTTTGATTGTAAAATTATTTAATTGTAAAATTATTTAATTGTAATCATTTAATTGTAAAATTCTTATTATTCTATTAAAATTGAATAAAAATAAAATTTTAAACTAATAAAATAAGAAATAAAAGTTTCAGTTTTTACTTTATAGGATATTTACATTCTATTAATTGTAAACGAATACAATGCAGTTTATTTTTTATGATAAGATAATACTTGTAAAAAACTATAAGTAAAAGAAGTATCATATAAAAGACTTCAAAACTCTTTTGATGATATATGTCATCTGGCTTGCTCTTTATTTACTTTTGCTCTTTCTTTCAATAACCTCAAGAAGTTTTCGTTATCTTTCGTAATAATTAATGATTTTAAATGTCCACAAAATAATAATTCAATCTTTTATAATTTATTTAATCTTTTTGAACGTAATTAGTATTCTGTAGATTAATGAAATTATATATTCCCCTCTATATAACACACACAAACATGTTTTATATTATTTTATTATAGTTTCCATAACAGCAAAATATTTGAATACTTAATACCTATATCCTAATATTAAATTGTAAAATATAACAATTATAAAATATAATTAATATTAGCAGATTTTATATAATTGCAAGCTATTTTTTCGTTCTTAATTATTACTATATAATTTTTACTTAACGCTATCCTCTTCTGTGAATCTTTTGATTGTTATACTGTCGCATTCCTAAGATAATAGGCACATGCATTTCCTCCTTCTTGATGTTTGTTGGAATATCTTCCATAGTTATTTATCTTCAGACATTCTTAAAAAATGTTCAATTCACTGAAGCGACTTTTCTCTATTCCTCCGATTACTATTTCTTTTTGCTTCCAATTTGTTCAAAAATATTAATATAACATACATAATTTATATATATGATTAATGACATATAATTTATATATTATATTATTATTATATATTATTATAATATATATAATTTATGTAATTTTTGTGTATCTCTCTTAGTCAGACTCTTCCCCTTCGACCTGTCCGGCATGGGTGACCCTACTGATAACTACAGCTAATATTCATAGTCTGTTTTTATATTTAAGGCCGTCTTAAGTCAAAGAAAATATTGTGACCACTTCATTGACTGAATAAAATTTTAAGATACAATCTAAGATAATTTTAAACATAAGAACAGATTATATATGAATACTGGCCTACGTTACCGCCGGCATAGCTCTTAGGTTCATTAGAATACTCAAACCTCCTCACCCGGCAAATGCCTTCGTTAAGGTGGAGATACCATCGAGGAGGAATACAATTTTATTTTATTTTCTTTTAATAGTGTAGATTTTTCAAACTTTCCAAATAGAAAATATAATACAAACAATTTATAAAATATATATTATATAATTATAAAATATTATAATGTATAATTACATAGCTTGCAGTCATATAAAAATATATTACAAAATATTTATTATAATTATAATACAAGTTATTTAGATTGGTGGTGCTATCAACATCAAATAAATATATGTATATTCGAATTTATTCAAATATTATCAATAATATGGATAATAATGTTGAAAGCATCAACATATACACTTGGACTTAACAATAATATTATGTATATAGAAAGAAAGGGAAAGGAAAATTTTCCATTTTTCGACTTTTATTCAAGATTTATTCTCTCTCTCTCTCTCTCTCCCTCTCTATTGTGAGTGTTATAAATAACTTTTCCACATAGTTTTGTTATAATTTCCATAATTGTATAACTTGATACATAATATTTTATTTTGACTATATGTTAACTCGAAATATAATATAAAGAATTATAAAATATAAATTACAAAATTAATTTAATATATAATAATACAATTAAATTGAAAGTGTATAATGTATAACAATAATAATAAAATAAAATATACATAATTTATAATACATTATACATAAAATAGTTAATACGTACAATTTTACATACATAGAGTATTTTATTATATTACACGAAAATATCAGAAATGCGTACAATGTAAAATTTATTAGAAATTTTTAGATTGGCGTAGCGCTGATAATCTATCGCAACCAAAAGAATCATTAATAAATTTATCGATTATGTCTTTCAATTAAGAAAGAGTACCCGGAATTTTAATGCATTTTGTAAATGGTTTTCTTTTCTACAATATTATCGCGAAAAGATAAATTGAGCTTTGATTAAATTAAAGAAAAAATCGCGATTTAAATTTCACGAATGTATGTGATGAATAAATTGATAATAATATTTAATCACAATACATATAATTTCTATAATCGGAATACAACGTGCGCACACGCAATATAATTATTATCGTTTTATATGATAATAAAAAGATTGCGATATTACAGGCGCATTTTATATGATCTGCAATTATAATATACGAGGAATCTGCAATTATAATATATGACGTAAAAAACCAAACGCGTATTCAGAATGTAATACTCGATTTCTTTTCAAATATACAATTTCATGTAAATTTTGTGATTAAAAATAAAAAATATATCTTGTTCCGCGGACAATTGCAAACAGGCTAAATTTTAATGTTCCTTAAAATCGCATTATCACCACGTTCAATGAAGGATAACTAACCCAACGATTAAACCAGATCAAAATCCCTCTGCCGAGTGACACGCTGGTTAATATCTGACAGAGAGAAGAACGATC